CTCATTTATAATGGAAGTCAATGGGCAGATGCTGAATACGTTGAATATGTTTTGAAATATGTGACAAAACAATGTGAATTTATGGCTACAACTGTTCCTACAGGTGACGGAGTGTCTGAGCAAAACTGTTCTAATGAAGGTTAACCAACTAACACGGTTTAAAAAAAATTCTTTTAGTAAAAGTTACTTTTGTACCAGAATTTTTTAATTTTAGCAGTTTTGGTTACTTTAAACAAATGTGGGCATGTTTGGTATCTGACGTTTGCTTCTTTACTTACAGCACTTTCTTTTACTTTTCTTAAAGGTTTTCCATGATTTAGGCGGAGCCTGTTAAGACTCCGCCCACACCACTATGATGATAATTAAATTCTTCACTGTTCAAAATAGTCTCATCTCTAAAAAAGACAATTGTACAGCTTGTTTGGCTCATTAAAATGTCAACAAAAATATGTTTCACCTGAACGTTTCCTGCAGGTGCCCATTGACTTCTATTATAAGTGAGTCTCGGGTCAGCAGGTTTTCTGGACTTTTCCCAGTTCAGGAAAACGTATTGAAATTATTGTTGGTGGTAATCGATCGTACTCTACAGGCGCAGCAGATAGAGGTCAGGTTCAAAAATGCTGAAGTGTTCCTTTAAGTACATGTACAGAACCACACGCAGTTTTCTGTATGCCATTCTGATGTGTTTGTTTTAGTTGAATCAGCCTTGTTTCATCCAAAAGTGCATTACGGTGCATCGTCCACATGATGGTCACGTCACATCGTCAGATTCACAGCCGAATAACCAAAATCCATAACACGGACTGAACGTCATCAATGCAGAATAACTGTTTTGACATGTGCAGCTCAGTTTGTTAATTATTATTAATTTTCCTCTGGCTCGTGCCTTTGTTGTTCCTCGTTTGGTAGATAACTCAGGCATGTTGTTATTTTTGTTCCATCATGTACAATAAAACAGATTGTTTAGGATTTGAGACGTGTTGGGTGGAGATTGATTGACTGCAGTGCAGTGAGCTGTGGATGAATCTGCTTCAGACCCTCCAGGGCACATCAGAGGAGCATCGCGTCCACAGCATGACAGCAGGGTCCAGATGAGTACGGCCTGCCCAGCTCATGTAGCTGCGCAAATGTAGTCAGTCAGCAAAGACAAGTTCGCTTCTGTAGTTTTAGCGATGCTGCTATGAGGCTAATGCAGCTAACAATAAATGGAAACCTATAGTATTAACAATTAGCATGGTGCTAAATTACCATACTTGAACTGTCACTGTGTGGAGGTGTTCAGTGTCTCTAATAGACTTGATTGTGTGGTTTCTGACTCTGTATGACTCACTGATATCTAGAAACATGGACTGAAGAACATTAGCATAAAGCTAAAAACAGTAGCAGCGTTTATTTCAACAGTCGTTTAATTCATTCATTCTAATCAGGGAGATCAGTGTCAGAGTGTCTGCAGGAAAGTTAATGATAATTCTTTTAAAGTTTATTTTTCCACCTCCGGATGTATCTTAAAGGAGCCCATATGGAAGAAAAATCTGTAAATATGTGCTCATAATAAAAATAAACATGCAGTGCTTCATATGTGATGTGTTAAATATATGTGCTAAATATATTTAACTGCCATTTTTGAATATTTAAATACATGCCAATATATGCAAATATCAGTATATTGAAATATATTCACATATGTACAAGAAAAGTGTAATAATGTCAATTTTTAACATTTATATATATGTAAATATAATACAAACTTGACACATATTGGAAAATATATGTAAATACAGTTACTTTGCAAGTGGAGGCATCAAACTAGCATATATGTCATATATACATAATATATATAATATATACATAATATATATGTCACTGTAATACCCAGCATGCATTATGCAAATACGATATATGTCCACTGGGAATCCCCCCCAAAACTGTGATAAAGAAAGTCTGACTGTTTGCGTAAAGGCTAAAAATACCGATGTGATGTTTGGCTGTCAAACAGTAATGTTAGTGATCTGCATTAGACAGCCAGCAGGAAAAACAAACATTTTAAACATTTTAAAACAGTCTGCTCTTACGCACCCCCCCCCACCCCCCAAAACACTCATAGTTTTGCAAAAGCTCCTCCCACCTTCAGGTGACATCATCAGAAGGGGGGTTACTCATCTGTAAAGAGGATAATCTCGCTCTGGAGAGGCTGCAGCACTGCTGTAAAAGGCATGTAGACATGCTTACAACAGATTTAGTGATGACTGCATGTTTAATTTGAGTTAAAAATAAAGTTTCCCTTTATTTGTGATGATAAACCAAATTTGTATTACCAAAATGTCTGTGTTGTGAAATCTAAGACCACGTAAACTGCAGTTTAAGAGAGTGTAATACTTACTAAGGCATTTCATTTGTAATGTGTCATTTCAAACAAAATCTGGCTTTTTATGCACCGCATACACGATGCTAATGTAAAGAACGTGAACCGATGAAGGAAGTTTGTTCAAGTGTGCTATTCGTTTACTTCTGTTAAACTAAAGTAAGTGGGTCTGGTTTCAGTATACTTTTATGTACTTATCAGAGATATACTAGACAAAATTATACTTAAGTGTACTTGACTTATAGTTACAAGTGTACAGAAAGATGTACTCAAGAAGAGTGTAAGTAAGTATAAAGTAACAGGTGGGTTATAGCAATGTTAATAACAATGTTTTACTATCCGGTGTCAACCAGAGGAAGATGGGTTCCCCTTCTGAGTCTTGGTTCCTCTCAAGGTTTCTTCCTGTTTCCCTAGGGAGTTTTTCCTTGCCACTGTCGCCACTGGCGACGCTCATGGGGGCTCGGACCTGGATTTCCTTTCTTTTTAATGCTCATTTCCTTGTAAAGCTGCTTTGTGACAACACCGGTTGTAAAAAGCGCTATATAAACAAACATTACTTACTTACTTACTTACTTACTTACTTATAGTGGGTATTGCTGTTGCCTCACAGCAAGAAGGGCCTGGGTTTGATTCCCCGGCTGGGCGACCAGGGGCTGTGTGGAGTTTCTGTGTTCTCCCTGTATCTGTGTGGGTTTTCTCCCACAGTCCAAAGACATGCAGTCAGACTGCTGGATATATATGTAATTTTATTTGTGGTATATTTTATAAACTACAAAGTGGGCCAATTTAGTCCCAAGAAGTACTGAAATAGCACACTTACAAGTAAACTACTAGTACATTGATATAAGTATACTTACTACATAAAGTATACTTTGGAAATATACTTAAACTTTACTTAAGTTTACTTAATAAAATCAACTTTAAGTAAACTTTTTTTACTACTACATACTACAGACTTTGGCATCTTCCTGGTGGTCCAGAGGTGCTAAAGCACTGCTTTTTTCATTTATAGTGGAGAAATATCCCTGACAGCAGCAGTGAAGCATGAATTTGGTCCATACGTTTGTCCATTTTGTCCTCCAAGACGAAGACTGATCCTCCCAGCACTTCAATTCTGATCTAAATGTGTTATTGCAGTCAAGTTTGTGTAAACATGTGGGGCAATCAATACAAATCTGCTGCACAACAACCAGCACAACAAACCAGATCTGTGGCTTTGTGCAGTCGATGAGTTGATGAAGGCATTTTTTTAGACAAAACCTGATCCACTGCAGCGCAGCAGGCTGTGAACTTCACCCAGTCGCCGATCTGAAATCCAATCTAGAGAAGAGGAACAGATCTCGGCCACGATCAATATTTTCCATTACACAGCGACCCTGAATATGGAGGCAGTCAACACGGTCAAGTTCAGTCCAGTCCGGCCTGATCCACAGAGTCCATGAGAGAATAAGATCCATACAGGTCATTTCACTGTGGAGGGGGAGCAATACATGACAAAACACCTCTACAACAATGCTAGCACCCCGTAGGGGTTTGTAACAGCATGTTAGCGCTAAGCTAATGCTGGTGCATGTGAAGGTTTTTTGACTGTTCTAGATTAAAAGCTTGTAAAAGACACTTCAGATGTTTTCATCTGAAGCTTGTAACAGTCATTATCATATATCTGAGCTTGTATGTTTCAGTGTTACAGTCACTCTTTCAGTAAAGAGTTCTACATAGAGCTGCCGCCACTGTTTAACATTCCTAACAACTAACCGGGACGCTGCTCTGACTATGGCTCGTATTCACAGTCAGGGACATACCTAGAACTTCCAGAAGGACTACAAAATTGATTGGTTGATTCTTCTGTCACTTCCTAATTATGTTGGTAGTTAATCTACTGTGTGAGGCCTTCAGTGCAGCTCCTGAAGTCCTAACCAATGGGAGAGCAGCTCGGCTGTACCTACCTACTTTTACACAGATGTCTTTACAGTGGTGGTGATCGGAACCAGGGGTCGCCATGACTACAACACCAATATAGACATTTTATTTACTATCCAGAACCACCAGTGAACCTACACGAGTCTTCTGAGTTTATATGGAATGTTGATGATGGAAAATAGTGGAAAATCTGAAATAATCAGTTTTCTTTGGGGACTATTTTGCCTCACAGCGCCCTGCATGTATCCCTCCACCATGAATGGAGTTTAAGTTCTCTAAACTATCATAAAACAGTGTCTCAGTCATCAGGCAGTGAATTCATAACCATTTCATGTAGGAACTTTCTGTGAGGGAGCTTTTAGAGGTGGACATCTGGTTCCTATCACCACCACTGTGAACAGTTCAAATGTCCTGTTTTTTTTTTATCTTTGTTGTTGTTTTAACTGACATGTCCTGCTTGTGCTGAGGGTGTCCACACTACTGTAGTAGTTATTGATCTAGTCCATCGATGGGACGTGATTGTGGACGCTGGTCTGGTTGGTAATGCTGTGTCCTCACTCGGTTACTCGCTGGAGCATCATTTTCTGCTGGCTGCTGTTCCTGTAAAGCCTATCAGAGGATTTACTGGGCTTTTCTGTGCTGTGAACACTTTTTTTATCCTGCCAGCTCAGATTTTATGTTTTTTTTTATTTATTTCTCTCTTTCATCTGCCGCTCCAGCAGCTTTGGCGTTACTGAAATTCTCATGAAGTTTGTGTTCAGATCTTGCATTTTGAAAGTTTGCTCGGCTCCAGCGTCAGTATGAGTGTGGAGATTCCGGCTGGTTTGACCGATCTGCTGAAGGGCTACACGGTGGAGGTCTTGAAGCAGAGGCCGTCTGACCTCCTGGAGTTTGCGGTGCAGTATTTCACCCGCCTGAAGGAGCAGAGAAACGCTGAAGGTAGGGGCTGCACCTCAAGGCCAGCATCTCAATATGAGGGGTAGTTTTTGGATGATTTTAATGTTTGATTTTAAATCTTAACCGTTTTTTAAACCCAGAAAGAAAAGCATCTTATTTAAAGTCAAACTAAAATCAAATTTAATTACTTTGTTAGCTCGTGTCATAATTAGCATGATTTATCATATTATTAGCATATAATATAATATAATAATAATCAAATGTCATGACCTTAGCCCCGCCTCTAAAACATCTGCTTTTTTAAAGATGTCGTCATGCACAAGTGGGTGGGGCAAAATAATATTAACCCAGACAATGAGCATATATCGGTCCGCTGGCTTGATAAGGTGGCACCCCACTGACTGTTTGCCACTGCTGGTTTACCATCGGACCACCCAGATTACTGCCCTGCATAAAAGCGCTAGCTAGTTTTCAATCTCTTCAAACAGATTTTAAATGCACAGAGACTTTTATTTTGGAAAATAAACTAAGACAAATATTACTAATACCTGAGAGAGAAAAAAAGTAATGACTAGACCTGATATAACATGATTTTAAGGAAAGTGTTGTTGCTGATGCTGAGCTGGATTAAAATTATTGACTAATTTACAGAGTTTAACTAAAGAAAGGAAGGAAGGAAAAATAAGTAAACTGGACTGAGAGTAAAAAATGAGTGATGAGTGGAATTTTGTCTAATAGTCTGCCTAAACACTGGTGGGCCACCCAGAAAACGCTAAGCAAAACACCAGTGGACCACCAGCTTTGCCATCAGTGGACCAACAGTGGCCCACTATCCTCCTGCAATCAGGGCGATGATACAGTTTCCCTCACTTATCATGGAGAGGAAAAGCTCAGAGACCCTGGCAGTTTCACTCATAAATATGTCACATTACAGAAGAAGCATGAATTATGATTTCACTTTTACTTTAAGAAAACAAAAAGCGTGGGAGTGGGTGGGAAACCAGCCCACTGCAGGCGGGAACGGGACAAAGCACGCATGAAGAGAAATCCCGCAAATTAATAAACAGCCTAAATAAAGTAGAAGGATCACTAAATAATGTACAAGCAATATAAAATGATAACAGGAAACAGTTAACATGAATTAAGTCTTTCTAAAGAGCTGTGAAGCAGCTGATCACATCAACAACAGGCAGATTCTCTTATCTTACAGAGACAGATGAGTCTTCAGTCCGACGACCACAGCTGCCCAGCAAAACACCAACAATAACCGCTCTGTGGTTTAATTCCTGCTTTGTGTTTCGATGGTGAATAAGTGGCGTTTGAAGTTACTCACAGTGAGCCTGATGACCACGACTGCTGTGTTGCAGCAGAGTATAACATGTTCGTGAACAGACTGTGTGGAGCATTAGTTGTCAGTTCACCTTGATGGAGCTGTGCGGGCGGGAGCGGGACAAATGATTCTGATTTTCTGCAGGAGTGGGATGAAATCTTGCAGGAGTGGGTGGGAGTAGGACTGAAAAAACAGTCCCACGCAGACCTCTACCACAGAGATTGGTATCTCCTCATGTTCTGACATGGTTTTGCTCCAATTCAGGGCCCTTTTTAGTTTATATCACTCCGTTTATATCACAATACCTACATTTAGAGTCAGTTATTCATTCAGCCTAATGAGAAACTGTAGAACAGACTCAGTTTATATCACAATACCTACATTTAGAGTCGGTTATTCATTCAGCCTAATGAGAAACTGTAGGACAGACTCAGTTTATATCACAATACCTACATTTAGAGTATATAAACTGTAAAAATGTCTGTTCTACAGTTTCTCATTAGGTTAAATTTGAGTAGCTAAACTAGAAGACATTTGTGAGGAAGTCTGGATCAACTGTATGAAGTACAAGCTGAGGAATAAAACATTGTTATCATTTTTATCAAAAGTACCTCAAACGAGCGTTATCGATATCGAAAACTGTTCAAATATGATAAATCAATAATTATCATTATCACTCCATCATACAGCAGAGGGGAACCGCCGCAATGCTGAGATCAGCTGCCGCAACACCAGCAGGTCTCCAGTTCAGAGAGGAGTGGCCTTTGATAAAGACACAACACCCACAGAGTCCAGTGAGGAAGAGGAGGACGAGGAGGACGAGGAAGACGAGGAAGATGATGACTTCCCAGACGATTTCACATTCAAACGTAGGTCAAAAGTGCCTTTAACAGCTTTTACTCCTCTGGGAAGGCTTTACACCTAATGTTAAACATTGCTGTGAGGATTTGATTGAGCATTAGTGAGGTCAGGTACTGATGTTGGATGGTCAGTTCTGGACACTCCAACTCATCCCAAATGGAGCTTCATCACTCCAGAGAACACAGCTCCACTGCTCCACAGCCCAATGGTGAGGGGTTTTATACCCCTCTAGCCCACACTTAGCATTGGGCCTCGAGACCTTAGGCTCATGTGCAGCTGCTCCAGAGCTCCATTCTATTGGTCGGTGCTTTTATATGGAGATTATACAAGCTGTGTGATTGGCAGCAATGGGTGCAGCTTAAAGATCCTACATTTTTCAGTAGTTTATTTTTCTTAATGAGGACCATTAACAACACTTGTGTCTGTTTATGTACCAAAATAAGTCAAAATTGATTTTTACTTGATGATTTTCCAACCTTTCATATCCCGCAGAATTAAACAGGCGGTTTTTGTTACTGGGCCTTTAAGGCTGTCCAAAAAAAACATGTATCTCCATTTTTTGTCTATTTTTATTAGTTTTATTTTTTACATTATTTGAGCATGACATTTATTTCATTTACATTATTTGGACGTTTCATGATGAAAATGCTCTAAAATCACTCAGAATTAAAATACTTTATATTATCTTGCATTCAAAGTTACAAATATTTTGCCTTCTCAATTAAAGTTACTTTTTTGGGGGGATACGTTTGTCTTTTGCCAGTGAGGATATGTAAATGAGCTCTGTTCTGATTGGCTGTGCCTCATTAAAAAAGCAGTCTGGGCACTCCTGAAACACTCCTTATAACTTCAGTGTGAGTGGGCGGAGCTAAACTGCTATAGACTGAATAGACACATATATGTAAATGTGTTGGTTTTTTGTGACATCACAGAACAGTGAATTCAAAACGGGCTGTTTTTGCAGTTTAGTTTCCATATATGGCCTGTATGGAGTGGGGAGTATGTTTTAGCTTCAGCAGTGTTTACATACAACATCACACTCTTATTTTGAAAAAGTGAGAAAATTTCAGTTTTTCCATGATAAGAGTCCTTTAAAGTAGCTAAAGTCACTCGTTAGAAGGACTGAGATCACCATCAAGAGGAACAATGAACTCATCATGTGAACTCATCCTCTTTCTCTCTCTCTCTCTCTCTCTCTCTCTCTCTCTCCCCCTCTCCTCAGCGCCGCCTCCCACTAAATCCAACCGCAGAGTATCAGGTGGGTGTTAATGGCTGTTTGATTGGCTTCCAGTGTTGAATAAAGTGCCTCTGTGTGTTTAGAGGGTCAGTTAGTGCTTTGGAGCTGCTTCAGTAACACTGACCCACAACTGTGCGCAGATTTCCTGATCGTTACATCATTATTGTGATCCTGATTTCCCATCTAACACTGCTTCCTTTTTGGTAGTGTTTTTCAGAGGGCGCCCATGAGCGAGTCCTCAGTGAAGGGAGTGAATGGAGCTAAACGGTTAAAAACGAAAAGTTAAAATAGTTTCTAATCACTGAACCAGAACTTTCCTTTAATTTGAGAAAGTAGAAGGATGGATTTCACAAAACAGCAAAGAAATCTCACCTGTATGTTTCCTTTTTATACAGTAAACAGGTTTTGGGCAGCAGGACGCTAACATTACTGCTACTGAGTGCGGATTGGTTGGCGAGCGGAGCAGCTCATTGGCTGTTCGAGCTCACAGACGTCATGAACGTACATGAGGCGCTGTTTTAAACTCCTATAACTCGAGTTTAAAAGCTCTTAAAAATATATCAGCGGTGTTAAAATGTTTTATGTTCAGGAAATGAATGTATTCTTTATTTTCCACCCGCTAGTTAGTCTCCCCCAATCACACGATACTATCAACGCTAGGAGGGTGAAGGCTAACACAGGCTTCCTCCGAGACCTGTGAAGCTCCACCGCTTCTTTTCGAGCTGCCGCTCACGCAACGTCACTGGACAGCCGAACGCGTCAGCTAACAGACGCCTGCACTGACCAGCATCGCGTTAAGTGATGGGGGGGTCAGGGGGCCATCCTACTCACCCAGAGAGAGCGAGGCCAGTTGTGCTCTCTTGGACTCCCGGCTACGGACGGCTGTAGCATCACCAGGGATCAAACTCATGATCTCCTGATGATACGGCCAACGCTTAGACGGTTGCGCCACTCAGGAGCGAACGTTTTCTTTAACAGTAAAAATGTTTAGGCGTTTATAAGCTATGATTTTGCTCAAATGCTTCATATTAATCCGCTCATTTTGGACTCGCTCAGGAGCGCCCTCTAGTGTTTGAGAAACCTGGAGGACATTTCAAGGTGGGAATTCTTTTCTCTACAAGTTCTCTGAGGGAGAGAGCCCTGAACGTGTTTCGAGAAGGAGGCCTGGCGACCTCTTATACAGCAGTGCGTCCCCGTGTGGTCAATTCTGGACCTGCGCATAATAAAGCCTGCACATAAAAAGAGAAAAAACAAAGCAACAGACACACGTTACGGATATTACGACCATCATTTCATACTGACTTCTCATTTATATAATTACCTCAAAGGGCATTAGCTTTGGGGCTTTCCACTTTTGTTTTTTATGTTTTATGCTTATGTTTTATGTTTATATTCTGATTGTAATGTGTGTGATGGCTTGGGTACAGTGTTGTGTATTTTAATCATCATATTAATTGATTTATCCATCCAGTGTGTGCAGAGGCGTATAACCCAGATGACGATGAGGATGACGACTCTGAGCCGAAGGTTGTCCACCCCAAAACTGACCAGCAGCGCTCCAGACTTCAGGAGGCCTGCAAAGACATATTACTGTTCAAAACTCTGGAAAAGGTAACACACACACCCTCAGTGCTGTTTCAGTGAGCATGTTACTGGATTAAAAACATTCATTTCATTAGAGCTTTAGGGGGGAACTGGTGCCCCCCTGTGGACCCAACTGGTTTGTCAGTCTGTCTCTGCAAACCCTGAGTAAATTTCCTGTTTAGGTAACAAATAAAGTACAGTACTGTCATGATATTCAGATATTCTCTGCAGTTTTAACTCTCTCGAGGAAACAGTGTGAAGTTTATCACTCCTCTCTCTCAGGAACAGTTCGCAGAGGTTTTAGACGCCATGTTTGAGGTGCTGGTGAAGCCACAAGAGCACATCATCGACCAAGGAGACGACGGAGATAATTTCTATGTCATTGAGAGGTTTGTTTCAGTTCATCATCATATATAGCATGTTTTATGTATAATCTATCTATCTATCTATCTATCTATCTATGTATCTGTCTGTCTGTCTGTCTGTCTGTCTGTATGTCTCTTTGTATCTATCTATCTATCTATCTGTGTGGCTGTCTGTCTTTAAGAGATGCCTCTGTACTCTCTCTCTCTCTCTCTCTCTCTCTCTCTCTCTCTCTCTCTCTCTCTCTCTCTCTTTGTCTCTCTCTCTCTCTTTGTCTCTCTCTCTCTCTCTGTCTCTCTCTCTCTGTCTCTTACTCTGTTCTGTCTCTCTCTCTTTCTCTCTCTTTGTCTCTTACTCTGTCTCTCTCTGTTTCTCTCTGTCTCTCTCTCTCTCTGTCTCTCGCTCTCTTTGTCCCTTACTCTCTCTCTCTCTCTCTCTCTCTCTCTCTCTCTCTCTCTCTCTCTCTCTTTGTCTCTCTCTCTCTCTCTCTCTCTCTCTCTCTCTCTCTCTCTCTCTCTCTCTCTCTCTCTCTGTCAGGGGTGTGTATGATATCGTGGTGAAGATGAAGGATGGAGTGAGCCGCTGTGTGGGGAAGTATGATAATAAAGGCAGTTTTGGGGAGCTGGCGCTGATGTATAACACTCCACGAGCGGCCACTATCATCGCCACCCAGTCGGGGGCGCTGTGGGCTCTGGTAACTTAACCTACACGCTAAAATACTTTATGTACATTTTAGCTTTAAGAGGACCTGTATAAAATATACCTGTAAACTCATGTTGAATGTGTGTGTGTGTGTGTGTGTGTGTGTGTGTGTGTGTAGGACAGAGCAACGTTCCACAGACTCATCGTGAAAAATAACGCCAAGAAAAGGAAAATGTACGAGGCCTTCATCGAGTGTGTTCCCCTGCTGAAGTCCCTCGAGGTGTGTGTGTGTGTGTGTGTGTATCAGGTCTGTGCCACGTTGTGGGGACGCTTCTTTATACGCTCATCTTGTGGGGACCAGAAGTCGGGACCCACAATGTAAATCATTAGATTTTAAAGTGGCGTGTATGATAAACAGGTCAGTCAGGTGACTTGCTTGTATGATTTTATGAACTTCTACAGAGTAATAATGTGTTATTGGGTCAGTTCTTGGGTCAAAATAGCATGTCTGAAAAAAAAATGGCTTGTAAGTATTATTATTATTATTATTATTATTGTTTTATTATTATTATTACTATAAAGAAAATAGGCTCAGTGTTTCTTTTATTTTGTCCATTGCCTGTATCAGTCATTTCTGGTCTCAAATTTGCTCTCATGTTCTCTCTTAAATTATTATTATTATTATTATTATTATTATATTGAATTCACACTCTCCTGTTCTCTGTAGTTGTCTGAGCGGATGAAGATTGTTGACGTTTTAGGAGCGAGAGCTTACAAAGATGGAGAGCAGATCATTAAACAGGTTCATTGATATTTAATAACTGATATTTAATAAGAGTATTTATGCTGTACACAGTGTAAATGAGGATTCCTCTTTTCGTCACCAGGGCGACGAGGCCGACTGCTTCTACGTAGTGGAGTCTGGAGTGGTGAAGATTCTGATCAAGAGCAAAGTGAATACCCAGCATCCCACTTACATCTGTCTGCTTAATCACTTTCAACCTTTTAGTAGCTTAAAATCACAAACAGCAAATTTACAGTGGAGTTTTAAAACTTATTAATCTTATAGTCCAGTTTTTTAACTTAGTCACAAATTCAGAAACTACAAATGTAATATAAAATAATACCATAATGATACCAACACAACAGAATGACATTAAACCCAAAAAAGAGAATTAGGAACTAAATGGACAACAATGGAACTGAGTTTACTCACTAATATACTTCAAAATATGCAGTGGTGGTGATAGGAACCAGGGGTCGCCATGACTACAACACAAATATAGACATTTTATTTACTATCCAGAACCACCAGTGAACCTACACGAGTCTTCTGAGTTTATATGGAATGTTGATGATGGAAAATAGTGGAAAATCTGACATAATACGTTTTCTTTGGGGACTATTTTGCCTCACAGCGCCCTGCATGTATCCCTCCACCATGAATGGAGTTTAAGTTCTCTAAACTATCCTAAAACAGTGTCTCAGACATCAGGCAGTGAATTCATAACCATTTCATGTAGGAACTTTCTGTGAGGGAGCTTTTAGAGGTGGACGTCTGGTTCCTATCACCACCACTGTGAACAGTTCTGACTCGGTAAGTTTATCTAGAACAGAGCGTTTCACACCAAACCACTCTGAATGACTCTGTTTACATCGGTTGTCTGTGTGTTTCTCTTCAGACTAAAGCAGGTCAGAGGGGTAATGAGGAGGTGGAGGTCGCCCGCTGCAGCAGGGGGCAGTATTTCGGAGAGCTGGCGCTGGTCACTAATAAACCGAGAGCTGCGTCTGTCTATGCTGTGGGAGAGACCAAGTGTTTAGGTTAGAATGTGTGAATTTCTTTACTGCATATCCTTCAGCTACGAGGCTAATGTAGCTAACCAGTAATGGAAGCTTATACCCCAACAGTTAGCATGGTGCTAAATGCAGGCCTATATCATCACAGACTCACTTCCAACTGTGTGGAGCTGATGAAGTCTATTAGAGATGACTTAATATGTGATTTCTAAACATGAACATGGACTAAAGTACGGACAAAATTCAGGCTTCAAGATAGTAGTACTGTTTTTAGTTGTGAATAATTTTAACATGAACCTAGCACCATGCTAATTTTTGTATAAGCAAAAAACTTATAGTGATGAGAATTTCTGCTCTGTATCTTCCGGGTTTCTCAAACACTAGAGGGCGCTCCTGAGCGAGTCCAAAATGAATGGGTTAATATGAAGCATTTCAGTAAAATCATAGTTTATAAATGATTAAACATTTTTAATGTAAAAGAATACAATCATTTCCTGAACACAGAGCAGCATAAAACATTTTAACACTGCTGTTATATTTTTAAGAGCTTTTAAACTCAAGTTATAGGAGTTTTAAACAGCGCCTCATGTACGTTCATGATATCAGTGAGCGCGAACAGCCAATGAGCTGCTCCGCTCGCCAACCAATCAGCACTCAGTAGCAGTAATGTTAACCAGTCAGCGCTCAGTAGCAGCAATACTAACCGGTCAGCACTGAGTAGCAGTGATGTTAACCAATCAGCACTCAGTAGCAGTAATGCTAACCAATCAGCGCTCAGTAGCAGTAATGCTAACCAATCAGCACTCAGTAGCAGTAATGTTAACCAGTCAGCACTCAGTAGCAGTAATGCTAACCAATCAGCACTCAGTAGCAGTAATGTTAACCAATCAGCACTCAGTAGCAGTAATGTTAGCGTCCTGCTGCCCAAAACCCGTTTGCTGTAGAACAAAGAAAACATACAGGTGAGTTTTCTTTGCTGTTTTAGTGAAATTCATCCTTCTACTTTCTAAAATTAAAGGAAAGTTCTGGGCGAGAGATTAGAAACTATTTTAACTATTAGCCTTTTGTCGTTTTTCAGTTTTTTACATAATTTCAAAATGCCTGTTGGCCTTTACATTGTATGTAAATTTCATGTAGAATAGAAACGGCTCAAAATGACTTGGAAAAAATTCTGGTTCCATTGACTTACATTAAAAGTAAAGTAGGTTTTTTTTCTTCTCCTGTAAAATTACCATTTTGGAAATGCGAGGTTTTCTTCATTTTTGTCTTATATGAAGCCTCCTGTATTTCGAGTGTTGCTCATCCTGAAGCGTCTCTCTTTCTGTTCCAGTGATTGATGTCCAGGCGTTTGAGCGCTTGCTGGGCCCGTGTAAAGAGATCATGAAGAGAAACATCGCTTCGTACGAGGAGCAGCTGGTGGCGCTGTTCGGATCCAGCGACGATCTAAAACACTGAAGGACACCTGAGGGCTGCTTCGTTAAGCAGGATGTGAGAGTTAGCTGGATAACTTAAACCCAAAGTGAGGACTGTCCAGTAGGAAATTCTCCTTAGTTCTTCTTCTATGGACGGTTCTGATTTGGAGCTAAATTTATGTGGCTAACTGAGAAATCCTGCTTCATATAACATCCACCAGGAGCTGCACCTTTGGACACACAGCCATGCTGTGCTTCTCCAATCTAGCATTCAGTTACAATGCATAGAGAAATGGCTCCATCAATGCTAATGTTGCTAACAATGAAAGAAAGTGAATATCCACTGATTAGCCTTATTCAGATGATGCTACCTAGTGGCTACTCCTTCTGTTCATTGTTACCCAGATAGCAGACAGTTTTGGGCCGATTCTGGCTTCCCTGTGTGAGTGTTGGTTGACTATGGGGTAGATGTTAGGCATGTGGGCCAGAATAGGGTCAGATCCTGGGCAGCTTCATACTGTTTTGGCTCATGTGTCCATTTGTGGGACAGTTCTGGCGTGAATATTGTGAACCAACAGTGTAGTTGGGCCAGATTGGGACCAGATTTGGGCCATATCCTTCAGTTCTACTCACTTTACAGAGTGTGGACCAGATCTGGGCCGAGGACCCAGTCGTATACTGGGCCAGAACAAACCAAGGACGTGGCCCACAAGTGAGCCAGACACATTTTGCTAACTGGGTAGAAACATCACATGTATGGTTGAAACTTCTTTAATATACAGCGAATAATAAGTTCATAATAATAGTTCAACCACACATGCTTATGTTGCTAACAATGAACGGAAGCTAGTAGCCACTAGTGAGCATGACATCATCTGAATAATGCTAATTGGTGGCTATTTAATTTCATACATTGTTAGCAACATTAGCATTGTTGACTGAGCCATTCCTCTAAGCATTGAAACTGAATCAAAATATAATTATAACAGGACAAATTAGCATCTGTGGAGAACACAGGTAGCTACGCTGGCACAACAGGATTTTGTATGAATCCAGAAGTATTTGAGATATATTTAACCAAGATATTGGAAGAACTGAAAGCTTTAAATGATTTTGCGATGAAATATGAAAAATATTCAGTTATCATACTGCTAAATATTCAGAGTTTGACAAACTAGATGCTCCCTATTGTTGTTGTTGTTGATATTAGCGAGCCTGTATGCTATTAAAGGTGGTGTGGTTCAGCCCAGGTTGATTAACTCACTACTAACAGGACTTTTTTGTCATATAAACTCAAACATGCTTCAGCCACACTTTTTGTTTTTTAGTGACGAAAGCTTTATATATTGCCTTTATTTGACCGCTGTGAAGCTAATTTCCGCTAGCGCCTCTTAGGGGATTGCTTACGTTAGCGCAACGCTAACAGTGCTGTACTGTAATGTTTCATCATTCATAAGATTTCATGTTAACTAGAGTCTCTGAGCTTCTGTTCATTGTTAAGCAATATTGCTGTTACGTTAGCAACAAGCTAATGTGCAGTGTATATAACTCTACCTGTTCTTTTCATCTCAGCTCTACCTCTAGCTGCTTTTGAAAGCTGGAAACTTAAACCTCATATATATTTGGGTACTTTTAGGCAGTAAGTCTCAAACATAACATGATTTTACCCCCAAACTGCACTGCCACTGTTTTGGTTCAGTCTGTTTGTATTTACTGCTTAGTTTACACTGACTGAATGCAAATTATCCACCTGGAAGCAGCCAAACTGTATTTTTAACTAACATTCTGATTTGGTCTGTTGAAGCCAAAGGGCTACGAAAGTCCAGAGAGGCCATAAGGTAGTTATAATTTTCTGGATTGTTATCTTCAGATAATGAGTTCATTATCTTGTTATCTGGAAATCACAATTTAGTTATTTTGAGATAACTAGATAATTATCTAGTGTGTTTAATGATATTCTGCAGTATGTATTGTGCTTAAATACTGATAACTGTGTGCAATTAGCATGTTGTTAAAACTGGGATAATTTCATATTTATTTCTTTTGTGAGAAACGCTCATACCGTCCCATCCCTAATGCAGACTTTAAGTGGTCGTGAAATAGATGTGTCTCCAAGATGGAGCTCCAAGACCTGTTCCAGCACCTGATTATGAGCTTGTTCACCTCAAATGTTCATCATGACTACATTTACAGCAGAATCTGTAACTAAGTGACGTGCTAAGTGAATCTTAAATCTGTGTCCTATCCAACATTGATGAAACCTAAAACCCTGCAGACCCCAAAGTAGCTAATTTACGACAGCACGCAAACTTTTTAACCCTCTACTGCAGGCATTGTGAGAGCAAATAAAAAAAAATTCAATTCACTTTTCTTGCATAAAGTAGTCCTTGATTTATTTGTTCAGACCCGTTTATTAAATTACATATATAACACACATTAAAAATAATAACAATAATGTGTACAGGGGTCCTTTTGGAGTATGTTGCCTTGAGGCAACATTGTGCGACAATGGGAAGAAATGATTTAGAGCCATATTCCCTGAAGTGGTGAGACCTGGCTTGTGATCAGCTAAATCCATTCCACTGTCGCACAATGTTGCTTCTAGGCAACAAACATATTTCTGCAAAATCTCAAGACAAAAAAATTGATACTCAATGTTTAAAAATTAGTTTGACCAAGCACATGCTTTTTATTGACATACTCAAACTCTTCCCGTTATTGTTAACCTATTGTTAACCCTATCGTTGTCTTCAAGTACACTATATTGCCAAAAGTATTCACTCATCCATCCAAATCATTGAATTCAGGTGTTCCAATCACTTCCATGGCCACAGGTCTATAAAACCAAGCACCTAGGCCTGCAGACTGCTCCTACAGACATTAGTGAAAGAATGGGTCGCTCTCAGGAGCTCAGTGAGTTCCAGCGTGGTACCATGCTAGGATGCCACCTGTGCAACAAGTCCAATCGTGAAATTTCCTCACTACTAAATACTCCACAGTCAACCGTCAGTGGTATCATAACAAAGTGGAAGCGATTGGGAACGACACCAACTCAGCCACGAAGTGGTCGGCCACGTAAAATGACAGAGCGGGGTCAGCGGATGCTGAGGCGCATAGTGCGCAGAAGTCGTCAACTTTCTGCAGAGTCAATCGCTACAGACCTCCAAACTTCATGTGGCCTTCAGATCAGCTCAAGAACAGCGTAGAAGCTTCATGGAATGGGTTTCCATGGCCGAGCAGCTGCATCCAAGCCTTACATCACCAAACGCAATGCAAAGCGTCGAATGCAGTGGTGTAAAGCACCGCCACTGGACTCTAGAGCAGTGGAGACGTGTTCTCTGGAGTGACAAATCACACTTCTCTGTCTGGCAATCCGATGGACGAGTCTGGGTTTGACGGTTGCCAGGAGAACGGTACTTGTCTGACTGCATTGTGCCGAGTGTAAAGTGTGGTGGAGGGGGATTATGGTGTGGGGTTGTTTTTCAGGAGTTGGGCTCGGCCCCTTAGTTCCAGTGAAAGGAGCTCTTAATGCTTCAGCACCAAGAGATTTTGGACAATTTCATGCTCCCAACTTTGTGGGAACAGTTTGGGGACGGCCCCTTCCTGTTCCAGCATGACTGCGCACCAGTGCACAAAGCAAGGTCCATAAAGACACGGATGAGCGAGTTTGGTGTGGAAGAACTTGAGTCCTGACCTCAACCCGATGGAACACCTTTGGGATGAATTAGAGCGGAGACTGTGAGCCAGGCCTTCTCGTCCAACATCAGTGTCTGACCTCACAAATGCACTTCTGGAAGAATGGTCAGAAATTCCCATAAACACTCCTAAACCTTGTGGAAAGCCTTCCCAGAAGAGTTGAAGCTGTTATAGCTGCAAAGGGTGGGCCGACATCATATTAAACCCTATGGATTAAGAATGGGACATCACTAAAGTTCATATGCGTGTGAAGGCAGACGAGCCAATCCTTTTGGCGATATAGTGTGTGTGTAATGTTACTGTAAAGTTTGTTGCCCTGAGGCAACACTGTGCAATAGAGGGTTAGACAGAAGTAAATAAGGTTGTAGAGAATGTTTTGTATTCGTTTTTTACAGGGGAAAGTAGCACAGCGTTAGAATTACAAATAATAACGGAAGTTTTCCAAAAAATGCATTCAACAAAAATTTACACAGAAGCCTCAACACTAAGGCCCAGTCCCATTTCAGCCCCCGCCCCTACCACTTAGCCCTTAGACCTCTTTTTTGCGCGTTCATGTCTAGGGGTAGGGTGTCCCAATTCTTGTTGAGATAGAGGGGTAGGGTGAAGTGTTAGGGCTACATGGCCCTCCAAACGGAGGTTTTTCAGATACTCCAAACAGAGTGTTGTGAGAAAAAATGAAAAACTGGCAAGATGGCTGAACAAGATACCAAAGAAACCCACAAATGTGATTATTTTCTCCATTAAAAATTACGATAATCACTGTATTATCTTAGTTTAATGTTGTTTCAGTGTATTATGGTTGTTTTCTTCATAACAAGCATAAAAAACGCAAATAGCATGCTAATGTCCCGGTAGCTAGCTAGCTAACTTTCCCGTTCCACCTTAAATAGTCCAGCAGTTCTGACGCCTGAAGCGCCAGAATGTAACTGCTGCACCATTTAAGGTGGAACGGGAAAATTCGAACGAGAAGCTGGTGAATATCTGACTTCAGCTTCATATCACTGAAGAATTAGGGGTGGGTGATAATAAATAATTGCCCCCCTCTTTGAAGTCATATGATGCCCTAAATGTAACTAAAGCCCAGCAGTGAGGAGCTGAACTTTACCCTCCTCTGCTGTCACTGCAGACTGGCAGGGTCGCCTACAGTGCAGCGCTGGTAGCTGTTAATGAAGTGATGCTCTTTTTATTTGAGGGTCCCATTTCAGAGGGAAGATTTCAACCACTACCCTGTAACTCGGTTCCAAGGGGTGACACTCGAAAATAAGGGGTAGGGGTAATAAGAAGAAATGGGATTGGGCCTAAGTGTAACATCAGATCTGTCAGAATTTAATTTGTCCACTTAGTTTAGGACACATACTGCTACTTTAACTCTTCGGTCCTTTCAATCTTAAAACCAGTGAGTTACAGCCGAGTCCTGCCAACAAACGCTGCTCTCAAAGGACTCACTGACATTCACACAAACATCTACCCAAACTCCTCACCTCAGCTGATTCACACATTTCTCTCTCAGGAGCATCTACAATGACTAAAGAAGATATTTCTAAAGGATTGGATGCAAGATAATCCACTTGCATAATGAGGCAGAAGTCAAAGAAAAATAAATGAGAAAAAGGGACTAAGCTAACGGGCCTCCTAACAACCACCTGGAAGAGCTGGCAGACCCACAACTGCCCCCATCAGATAAACAGCACTTAAAGCTTTCATCTTTGAGAGAGAGGAGAAAATCAAGCTGCTTCAGATCTGAAAACATCCACAGGTGTTTCTGTCCATCCTTCCACTGTGAGAAGACGACTCAGCGCTGTGGGTCTGAAAGGATGTGTAGCTGATCAAGGAGAACCTCACTGAGAAAAGGAGACGGACACATCAAACAAAGAAGCTGAACGATGGACTGACCACCCCAGAGTCCAGACCTCAACACCACTGAATGTGTCTGATTACTTCAGAAAATGATCAACCAGCTTCTGAGACTGAACTTTGGAGGTGTGTCTGCAGATTCTTTGAGGAACTGAAATTGAGTCTCCTGAAAAGAATGGAAGCTGGAATAAAGGGAAAGAGTGATATTAGATTTAGATGTTGAAGATTGTGTAATTTTTGTTAAATCTAGTGCTTCTGCTGAAAAATGAATAACTTGTGTAATTGATGGCCGCTTTGACTGGAAATTAAAGTCTGACTTTTGCACACTACTGCATGTGTTATGCATGTTAACTTCCAAAGGTGATGTGTATCAATACATTAGTTTCTATATTTGGAAGCATCGGAATAGAGAAAGTGATGTGAAATTTCTATTTAGAACTGAACCCATCAGAGTCTGTACTCTAACTGCTATTTAAATCACTCCTTCAATTTTAGGACAAATGTCCAGAATTCAAAAATAAGATCAAGTCTTTTAAAGAGCTAAACTCAATCACTAATTCATGTGTAGTGCTGGCAAATTAGAGATACGTGTAGATTAAATTTTTCATCCAGGAATGTAATTATTCTGTTTACGCCAAAAAACAAAAGTATTTCTGTTGATGTTTTTGTTTGGTTAGAGACATTTATTTCACACAAAATGATTTTCTCATGGAGGATCAATTAACACAAACAATGAAATGAGAGAGAGCATATGACTGTTATATTCAAGTTTTCTGGATCTTTTTTTTTTTTATTATTTGAGTAAGAAAAACTGAAGTGCCCACAACAAACCCTCGCAACAGCTGCCAGCCCAAAAGTCTTAAGTATTTACATCACAAATTTAAGTCTGGTTTTGTGTTGATGCTCTTCGCTCATCTCTTCCATCGAAGATTCCCGTGGTTAGTTCCGTGGTTGAAAATAATAAAGGGCAACTCTCCTGGGTTTTAAGCCAACTTGCCAGGGTTTTAAATATTTAAAATATTTACAGTCCTGCGATCCAAAAACTCCAGAGTCCTGTAGCTGTTCGTCTGTTTTGAGCCGACGGATGAGTCTGCCCTAATCTGGATTAGCAAAGTGAGTGACAAAGCAAGGCTGATGAGAAGATCCCCTGAAACGTACATTCCCAACGTTATTTCTTCTCCACAAGGAGCACTGACCAATGAATGTGCATGACTACTTAAAAACCCATTAGTCTGTTACAACGGTTTCTATTATCCATCTTTTAAAAAAATTAATAGAACTGAATCATTGAAGAATGAAGAAAAAAAAAAAAATTTATAGCGTCCAGTTCGTCACTTTTTCTTTTTTTTCTTGTTCTTCAAAACATCCTGATTTCCCAAAGAATTTCCATGAGCAAAAAATAAAAAAAAAGAATCACCAATAAATACAAATACAGCAGAGAAATGGTGAAATTAGCTTGTACATAATCTGGAGTGGTGTTGCAGACAGACAGATCCTTGAGTTGTCCGGAGAGACAGAGGGCCACCAGAGGAAAGACGAACTAGAGTTAAAGACTGATATGTAGAAGGGAGGATTCCAGACAAACAACACTTAAATCTCCAGAGATCAGAGTCCCTCCAGGCTGTAAATGCAAATGTATCTGTAAAGGTGGCGAGTCGAAGTGGGCGCTGATGTGTAGAGCTTGGCCTGACCGAATGTAGTATCACACTGAGGTGATGACAATCATAAGATGAGGAGAGATACTGGAGATCTGGCTGAGAAGGTCAGGAGCCAGTCGTGAAAGGTGACTCTCCGAAAACTCACAGGGAGGGAAAATCTGCAACACGTAGGCAGGCTAGAAGAAAAAAGAAAAAACAGCAGGTAAGACTCACATATTTTACAACAAATGAATCAATAAAAATAGCACAGAATCTAAAGATTCTTGTTGCATTACGATATATTATTGTTAAGAAGTTAAGGATGTTTATAAAAAGCTACCATTTCAGAGAACCGAGGCCTGGAACAACAGTGACAAGCGCTTTTCTTGTAAAGGTGTCAAACTAAGTAACCAAATGTTCCTGCAGCAATGCTCATCACATAGATCATAAATAATGCATTGTTAAAGAATATAATATGCACACACCTGATTGGAGCCAGGATTTGGCACATTGATGATGCCTGCAGCCAGCTTGGCCTTCAAGTAGTTGATGAATGCCGATTTGAGGGCCTGTGTCTGGTTCACCACATCCTCCTGATCTACACCACAAGGCATGGCCAGCAAGAGGCAGAAATCACTCTCGCCCTACAGTCAAAGGACAGACAGACAATGAAACATACAGTAACGTTTCCATGTCTCTTCAAATATCTGCAGGCTGGTTAAATTATGCCCTAACTGAATTAGGAACTTACAGTCATTCGGCGGGCCACTCCTTCAAGCTGTGGTGTCTCTAACCTCATCCTCTGGACAATACGGAGGAGAGCGCCTGTCTCTGGGACAGGAAGTGACCGTAGGCCAAGAGACTTGTTTCCACAGACAAAATGCAACTGGACTGCAGCAGTGTCGTTCTTCAGTGCCAGCAAGCCTTGCCACACAATTGGGTACTTCTGTTTTGGGGGGAAAACAAATGCATAAATTGACAGTCATTGTAGCTCACCACGGAGTTACATTGTAAACTCCATGGACTTCGCTAAGAAATGCTCCAATCCTAACAGTTAACTCAAGTAATTCCTACAACTCTTCCAGGTTACACATTTGACCTTCTTACCGTCAGAAGTTGCACCATGTTGACTTGCTGGTGTCCAACATGCTCCACTTTACCTTCAGTCGGTGCTTGGCTGTGGTCAGATTCTTGAACACCCTTAGTTGGACAAATACAAATACACATTAGTGTGATTCAAATATAAAACATGCAGCTTAAATACCTGAGCACTCAAGTTCAACCTACCTGTGAGGGTGTGATATTACGGGGTGGCTGGGCAATCCCCAAAGGCGAACTTTCAGAAAACTGGGAGTGGACAGTGCGCAGGTTGGTGTACATGGTTGAATACTCAGAAAAGGGTGGAACAGGCCCTGAGGGAATCAGCTGTACCCGCTGAGGAGAGGCCATGGAAGGCACTGCGCTCCGAATTCCCATGATTCCATCTTTACCAGGGGGTGATGTGGTCCTCTTCAATTCAGACTTCAAAGAATCCTTGTCAGCCACAGTCTTTTGTAACAGATGCGCCCGTGGGGACAGAGATGCTGTAATGCTGGTGGGAGTTGAGGTTGGAGGGACGGCCTCAGCAATGTGTCCTTGGTGAAGTTCTGAAGCTGGACGCTCCCCTTGCTGATGGTGCATAAGCATTCGCATGTCTCTTGGTGATACATTAAATCTTTCCAGTGGCAGTCCACTGTGAATCGGCCCACGGTATTCTGCGGGTATTGACTCTGGCTTCAGCTGAGTAGCTGGTGGTCTTCCAAGTGCTTGGTGAAAACGTCTTGCTTCTTCCTCACCTCCTTCATGGCCTCTTGCGTTAGCTGGGTTGACTTTGAGGACCATCTCTCTATTCCCCACAGCCTGAGGAGATGTGGGGCGCTGCTGACCAGGAGGCCAGGTTGAGGGAAGGCCCTCAGAGTGAATGCCATAGTTCATCATCGATAGTGGGGGTGTGTTAACTCTCACATCTCCCTGAGAAAGGTGACCAATGGGAATGGTCTGACCTACACGGTGAGGCGACATTCTTCCAAGGTTGCCATGTGTATTATGTGGGGGCATGATCACAGACTGTTCAGAGTGATGTACACTTGGGACATACTGAGACATTGTTGGCAAACCAGTTGACAATACCATAGAAACACCTTTGGGAGATGAAGAACCAATGGGAGAAGACACAAAGGGAGAATGGGGATGTCCAGACTTGCGTGGGGACCGTGGTTCTTGTTTTGACTGAATATGTGAAGAGGCTCTATCCGTGGGGGTTCCTGGTATGAAACCAACATTACCAGCTGGAGAGGGTAGGTGAGGGCTTATGGCAGGACTTATAGTTGACACCCAGGCAGGTTTCACATTTTCCACATTGAGAGGCTCATTTCCTTCTTTCTTGGGATGCTTCATCACCATACCATATTCTGAGTGATGGAAACCCATTACTTGTGAAGGCCCAGTCTGCTGCAGTCTTTTTACAACCCCACTTTGAACTGAAGCATATGCGTCTAATTTGTCTAGTCCAGAATCTGGCTTAATAGAAGGGACATTTGGCTGCGATTTCAGAGAATGACCGTGGTCTGACGGAGGTAGGGAACCCTTGGGGGCAGCTGGCTGCGAGGCACTGTAAAGATCTTGTTTGATCTGGGGCATGGACACCAGCTGCTGGGATTCTATGTCTACAGCGCTAGGTGGTGGAATTTGACTGATTTTGGCACTAATCCGCTGTCGTCCCTCAATTTTTTGTCCTGAGTGACTCAGTACTACGACTCCCTCGGAAGTATTCACCCTGAGGCCAGCAGTAGGGCCTGTACTCAGGGAGGTGCTCTCCACTATGTAGCGACCTGCATTTCCACCCTCCTCTCCAACTGTTGGGCCATGATAGGTGCTACTGTCATCCATGCTGGGCTGATACATCTGTTTTGGAGGTTGTTTGTCCACAAACGGATTCCCCATTGGAATACTAGGCTTCTCCTCAGATTCAGTAGGATTGCAAACTCGACTGATGACAGAGGTAGCAGTGGAAGCAATGACAGAAATCACAGACTTCTCACTAAAGACTTGCTTTGTCTCTGGGGATGGTAAAGAGGCTGGTGGTCGAACTACAGGTTGGGTTGAAAGAGAGGCCTGCCTGTTTTCATGCGGTGCGTTTTTGGCATCACTCTCCCTTGCATGCATGCTCCCAGGCGTAGCACTAATATCTGGAATTGGAATAGTTCTCGGCTTTGAAAGAATTTTACGCAGATCACTGGTGTTGGTGTCATTGGGAGAGGAGTCAGGGAGTAATGTTGGATTCTCTGATGGAGCTGAAGGTGTTATTGAAGGAGAGAGTACTGCAGCCTCTTTAGGCTGATTCAATCGGTCTGTGGGGGAAACAGGAAGTCTGCTTAGGTGTGAGGGTTTAAGGCAAATACTTTGTGGGAGACAGAGAGGGGGATGTACACTCATAAGGATGAGGCTGAGGCTTGAGGGATGTTGGGCTCTTGTTAGCTGCTGGCCCAGATGATTTTGGCAGGTCAGGCTGTTCTTTAAGAGGAACTTCTGTTGCTTTAGGAACATCAGGAACATTAGCTGTTAAGCTTATATCCTGCTTAGATGATGGAGTAATAACAGCAGCAGTAGCTGGTGGCGAAGTCTCTGTGACCGCTGGTAACTCAGGTATAGCTTCTAGTGACTTAACAGGGAGACTCTCTGTCTCTAATACCACCTCTTTGTTCGCTTCCTTCTTGTTCACATTGGCCTTTTGGCCTTTGGCTCTCTTCTGGGCTTTTGCTCTGCCTTTACCCCCTTTTCTTGGTGTTCCTGTGTTTGAAGTCTCCCCCCGAATAGTAGCAGAGTTGCTCTCATTAACTTTAGCATCTGGGACTAAAGTTTGAATATCTGAGTCTGAATCTATGACTGAGCTGACCTGGTCTTGTGGCAGACTGGAAGACATGTCTTCAGATGTGATGGAATCAATAGCAGCAGCAAGCTCAGTTTCACTAGCAGGATTAGCAGGCTTGTCTTCTTCAGGTTCATGCACAGCCTCCTCTACAAGATCTGATAAAGGCGGCTGTACCTCTGTTGGGCTTTTAAACTGAAGTGGAGTAGGGTCTTCTGTAAGCTTGGCAATATTTTCCACCGCTTGTTCAAGCTCCAATTCACGGGATAATGCCTCAGGAGGATCTTTGACTTTTGTGGGACCCGTTACATTGTCTTCTTTAGTATCACCATCACCCATGACATCTTTTTCAAATCTAGGTTCTTGTAAATGATCTTTGGGAGAGGCAACTGCCAGAGTCTTTTTAGAAGAATCATCATGCCCAGATTCATTCTCACCTGTCTGAAGCCTTACTTTTACTTCGGTCATATCAAGCCTGATTCTGAGGTTTTTGAGACCAAGAGATTTATCCTCGGTCATTAGCTTTGAATTGCGACTTAGTCGAGTTGGTTTTGTTCTTCCACTTTTATCCAAAGAGTGTTCTTGAGCAGAATCAAGTTTTTCTTGGCTGCCAATTCCTTTATCCATTTGGGTTATTTTATCTTTTTCTTGCTTAGTTTCTGAAATTCCTGGTGGTTTATGTTCATCTTTTGACTCATTTTCACCTGAAGGATCACCATCATGCTGGTTAGTGCCGTCTTGAGAATCCACATCCATCTCAGAAGGATCAATCTTTTGAATACTAGCCTCAGATACTTTATCTACTTTTTCTCCTTTCTTCCCAACTCCAGACACACAAGTAGTTCCCTGATTTGCTGCTTTGTGTAAGTATGGGGAATGTCTGCCTTTGCCAACTTTAGTGACTGCTTCATTGTTACCAGATTCATTTACATCTGTCTCTTTGGTCTCAGTTATTTTTGACCGGTCATTCTTTCCAGACAAAAAATCTTCTCCTTGGCGTCGATTCTTAGGTGGACGTCCCCGTCTAGAAGTTGCTGGTGCAGTAAGAACATCTGGTTCAGGCTGCTGCTGTGTTCCACTCTCTTTGTCCGAACCACGCTTGCGTGCACTGCGTGGTGATTCAACATCCTTGCTAGTCTGTGGGGCAGATTCACCCTCAACAACAGTTGCATAAACAGAACGTACATTCCTACGTCTTGCCCTTACAGGGGGTACATTTTGCTCTACAGACTGCTCTGAGTCAGCGCTATGGATGGGAGACTTGCCAGTTGACTTATCTGAAACAGCTTTAGATAACTCTCCTCTTGGAGAAGATGAACGTTTAAGCTTTTCTCTATCAATGCGTTCACTCTTGCGTGTGGTCTGTTTGTCTGGGGTGTTTGGTGAGGTCAAAGGGGCTACTGGTGTTGTAGGTGAAGTCTTGGCTTTCTTGTTTCTTGACCTTGGTGGAGGAGAGATTGGTTCTTCCACAGGGTAGCTGTCAACACATTTTGATTCAACCTCTTTGACTGGAGGTTCAGTTCCTGTATCTAGTGGTTCAGATTTTTCTAATTTGTCTGTTTCATCTATAATCATAGGGGATGGGGAATTCTGTAGTTCAGGGAGTTCTGCTTGTGGCTCAGGTTTTGGTCCATGGGACACTGGTGTGTCATCCGTATGTGTATCATTACTAGAGGCCTGCTCAACATCTCTGTTAAGAGGCGTTTCCACATCATTAGTTGGACTTACTTTTATCTCAGTCACTGAAGGCTTTGTCTCCTGGCATTCTGAGCCATTTGATTCAGATGTTTCTTGGTACAACGGAGCAGTTGCAAAAATCTGTTCAGGTTGCTTTTCTTCTTTCACCAGAGGATCAATGTGCTTAGGTGAAGGAGCTTGGACATTACTTGTTTCAAGCTGTGGTGACATCTCTTTAACTGTCAAGACAGGTGGTGATACCTGAATTTCTTGGGCAGGGTTTACATGAAGCGTCTGAGCAGGGCTTGCCTGAGGGGCTTGTGCAGGGCTGATTGGTTTAATCTCTGCTTGCTGCACATTAGGTTCAACAGTACCGAGTTGATGAGCTGGTTCCTCTTCCTCCTGTGACTTCTCATCGACTCTTCCATCCACACTTTCATCTTTCTTGGATTCCTGCTCAGTCTTCTCTTTACCCTTCTGTTGCTGGAGCCTTGTTAACTCTAAAAAGCGATCATGGAAGAGTACCACTGGTTCAGAATCGGGCTGACCATCACTTTGGCCTTGCTGAGCATTAGGATATCCCATACCATGTTCAGGATCTTCATGTTTTCGTTCAAGATGTTGAAGGCGTCGTGAGTCTTGCTCAAAGATAGAACTGTGAAGAAAGCGAGAGGCAAAGAGCTCTCGTCGCTCCTGTTCTTCTGGCTTAGGATCTTCCTTTCGGTCATCTATTTTATCCTCAGACTCGCTTCGTATTTTCTTTTTCTTCATGTACCACGAGGGTGTTGGTCGTGGTGTTGATTCTACCTTTTCTGTGTCCTTTCTGCTTCTGAAACTAGCAAAATGGGAGTCACCATCCAGGAAAGACCAATTGTCTTCCCTTGAGGAGGACAAGGATTTTGCACGTTCCAGCAAAGCTTTAGTATCTGGTGTGATTGTCTGGTCAAGTGCAAAGGAATAAAATTTGTTCCTTTCCAACGAGGTGGTGAGCTTGGATTCTGATAATCTGTCTCCACGATGGCGTTCTGGGAAGGACATTGATGTTGAGGGCATAGGAGAGTTTGGTTTGTGTTCTCTATCCTCTTCAGAATCTGAGCGTACCTCACCAGGCTCCAAATCAGGCCAAAGTCCATATTCTAAATACTTCCGATTTAATCGTCGTTTTTCTGAGCTCCTTGAAAAATCAGGTAACAAGTCCTGCTTTAAACGATTCTCCCAGCGCCTCTGTTGCTCATCTAAGAGAGGTGTGCTTTGCTTGGACATCTGTGAGGTATGTGCCCGTTTAACTGTAACATCCAGGTCTGGGTGGGCATTATCCTCAGGCTTAGGTAGCTCTTTTACTTCTTTACCAGTAATTAAATGGGGGACTTCTGTATATTCATCCTCTGCATGTTGGGGGGCATGCTGAAACCTTGGAGAATGTGTGCTGTTCCAGTCTGCTTCTTCATTTTTTGGCCGGGAAGTTCTATATACACGCTCTCTCTTGGCACTGACATCCAAATCAAAATGCTCCTGTTTCTTGCTCTTACTTGGTGGAGAGTTATCAGTGACATCCTGAGGAGGCTTGCCTACCTCATGCACCAAGCTACGGTTTTCGAAGTCTTCTGTTTCCACACAATGAGGAGTTTCTGCTTTTCCTTGTTTATCAGGTTCTTGGAGTTGCTGCCGAAGTCTTCGGTTTTGCTCCATTTGCTTGCGATAACTCTGGGAAAGATCAATGTCCAAATATTCTTCCCTCCCTTTGTTTTCCTTTTCTGGGGTTCCATCTTTGGAGATTCGTCTAGATACACTTGGTCCTGTCTGAGTTTTTGAGTCCAGAGACTCCAAGTTAGGCTCAGAATGTTCTCCTTGCCGTACAGATGAGCTCTGAAATTCAGCTCTCACACTGGGATCCAACTCTTCTCTTTGACTAAAGTGAGCTATCCTCTCAGATTTGGATTTCGAATGTTCCCTCTTCTGTACCTCTTTTTCTAATGCTTTTGTATCATTTTCTGCCTCTTTTGTGAAAGTTGCATTTGCCCCAAAGTCTGCAGTCTGGCTTACCCCACCAGTTTGTTCATCATCAACACGACCTTTTTTATGTTTTATGGCTTTGCAACTGGGATCACCAAAACGCCTTTTTCGTGCCGCAAGCCTGTCGGAATCCAAAAGGGGCTCTTTCCCCTCATTTCCAGGGTCAGTTTTGAGGTGCTTCTTTGATCTTCCTTTGCTATCCCGATCCACTGACTCACTTTTACCTTGATCAAGTCTTTCTCCTTTTTGTGGCTCAAGGCGCAAAACAGGATCAGGAGAGGGTTCATTTTCACCTTTATGTCTCTGTCTTTCTGAGCCATCTACATCAGAAACTTTAATCTTTCCAGAATTAGAATCCAAACTAGGCTCCCTGTCCGCTTCGGTGCGAGGTATGCTCGGAGACTGTACTTTCCCTCTCCTTGACTTTGCTTTCTCACCCTTCTCTCGGTCTGTTTTTTCCTTTCGCCTGCCACGCTTGTTCTTCTCTGCCCCACTTACACGTTCTGCCTCGGCCTGCTCCATTTCTCTCTCCAGACTCTCTGTCTTGTAATCCACTGGAGACTTTTCAGGCTTTTCAAACTGAGGTTGTGCTGGCGATAAAGAGCTGCAGCTTCCACTTCTCTCAGACGAGTGCCTGTACACACGCCGCTCTGCTTCCCTTGAGACACGGTCAGATGGTGATGGGGAGGCAGAGGGGGTTATAGGGCGGCGCTGATGGGATGGACTCCATCTGCCACGGTCAGCCTCAAAGCGTTCACGTTCTCGCTCACGTTCGCGCTGAATGTAGCTGTACTTTCTGATATCCTGCTCGAAAGGGTCCCGGTAATCTCTGTATTCTCGAGGGTCTTCATGATACCGTGGGTCATAGTGGTCACCCTGGTAATGGTCTAATTCTGTATAACGTTCACGACTGCGGGCAGGGTAGTCTCGCCGAGGATCTTCAGCATAAATTCCTGGTGTCCGAACATTCTCATAGTATGCTCTCTCTGCTGAGAATTCATGGTATGGAGGTCTTCGATCATCTCTGATAAAGGAGAGAGAATAAGAGGACAATTAACATCAGTCAACATTTTTATCAGCAGTCAGCAAAGCACTAAAGCATGATATTCTCATATCTGACAAGTCTTGTCACAGGTGTACCTTCTGTCTGAGGGGATTTCATAAAAGTCACGGATATCCTGTCCTGATGCCTGCATAGAGCGATAGAAAGCCATCTGGCTTTCCTGACTGGCAAAATCAACCTGCAGAGAAGACGCATATACAATTATCAATACCTTCATCCATTAAAACTAGAGCACAGTTATAAAATGCAGGGGAAACTTAACTACCTTAATTTTATTGCCACCTATCTTCCATCCTTTGGTCTCTCTTACAGCAGCTTGCGCAAAATCTGTGTTGTTGTACAAGATGAGAGCCATCCCCTTCATTCTGTCAAGAACAACCTATAAAATTGTTCAAGAGTTAGCGAACAAGATCTCACACAGTGCAAAGTCAAGCAAAACATACACAGGAGATAATTACCTTGACCACATGTCCATATCGACAGAAGTGTCGTGTAAGGTATTGCTCTGTGATGTTAGTTGACAAGCCATCTAACCACACGCAAGTTGTAGGCATACTCTTCCCAAAACCAAGCTGCAAAAGAATACACATTGCCAAATAAAAATCTTTAAGCACTTAAATCCTGACATTTTGTAATTGGAAGAGTGCGCAAGGCTTAATTTTGTGTGACTTTCCCTCATTAGCATGGACCTGGCATTGTTAGTTACTGTTGCATGACACAGTAAACTAGATGAATACCTTGAGTCTGTTGGTACCCAAGTACTCCCCATCCATTTTCTTGATGGCTTTACACACACTTGCAATATCCGAATATTGCACAAAGGCATATTGTGGAACACCGTTAACCCTTTTAATATCGATATCCTGAAAACAAAAGACAAATTTTAAAAGGAAAGTCTAAAACAGTGTAATTGAACTCTGAAGGAAAATTTTTCTATTTACCACTATCTCGCCAAAGCGCTGAAATACATCAAGTAGCTGTTGGTAGTTTGTCGTCTTCTCCAGATTTCCAATGAACAATGTTCGAGTGGCCTTCGGGTGGAACTCATCTATCCGCCCATCCAAGGGACGAAACTCGTTTTCACTTTCTGTCTCTGTTAGAAAAAAGAGATATAGCTAAACTAACGAGTATCAAACTGCAAAACCTGCAAACACTGGCCAATTTGCGTAGTACTCACCAGGGCCATTCCAGGCAGTCACTTCGATCAGCATACCAAAGAAGAGCTTTCCTTTGGACACGCTAAGAGCTTTCTCTTGGTCCTCTTGCTGTCTGAAGAAGACTAAGCCATAACGTTCCTCTGATGCACCATGTATCTGTACTGATGTCACCTTCCCATATTTCTTAAACTCATGGAAAAGTCCATCTTTCAAACTTGTATCTGAGGACAACAAAGGCACACTTAAGTACTTTACATACAACATGCTGTAGCTCAAAAAACATATCTTTTGGTTGGACTTTGCCAAGGTGTTAGGATCAACTGATGAATGATTTTGGGTACTAACCTGTGGATCGCACAGGAAGGTTCTGGACCCTGATGCCAAAGCTCCGACGTGGCTCATCGCAGTCCAGAGACAACGGAGGAGGTGCAACAGGAACATGAGTGGCTGCAGACTGAACTGAGCGTGCTCGAGAACCCTCACTAGAACTGCTGTTTGAGTCACTGCTACCAGAAGATGGGGAAAGAAGACAGTCACCTTAGAGTAAGACACTAACACAGTACAAAGAAACCCACTTTCCACCCCTCTATCATTCAGCAAAAGCTTGTTTTTTTGTTGTTAATGCCTGAACAGTCATTACTATTTAAAAGGATGGGTCTTTTACTCTGATATACTCCAACATCTCCAGTGGAATGCCCAACATTAACACATCAGAGCGCTCTCTCTGAAATCGGTCATGTTCCTAGGCTGCAAACCTAGTAGAATGTTTCACATCATTAAAACACTAACCTCTTCTTTTCTATTGACAAACTGTTTAACTGGCACTTGACCTGCCACACAATTTACAGGCTAAATATATCACCACATCTACAGTCAATTTTAATAGCCACTTGTCCACAGCTAAGAGCATTTCAAACATGTCAAGTATAATTCACAGATTCTACAGTTTTATCTCTGGTGACTTAATTATAAAATAATATATTCAAATGTGTACAACTATAGCAGAGTTCCCACTAGAACTGTGTGCACAAATATGATCGTCACTAGCCTATAAGTTACTGCTGCTGCAGTAGTATTGCAAGTTGAAATAAAGGACATATACTGTTTTGAGTATTGGCACAGACTGCACAATAAAGTAAAAGCTAGATTTCATACTGTTCGTAGCTAGAAACTACTACAAAATGCAGTACCTCAAATTGGCATGATAGTGAAATGCCAGTCAAGGAAATTCAAAAAAATATTCAGGGTACTCTTTGAAAATGAATTTTGTTTTTTTTTTTTAAACCTGAATTTTTTAACCTAAACTTGCTATGACCTGAATTTTTTACAATCTGAATTGTAAAGGGGTAAATTCAGACTATTATATATATTTAAATATCTAAAGTTGTCAAGAACATCTGATTACTAATTTTTTAAGCATCATGAATTCAGGTTCAAGTGACACTGATTTAAATCCATACATTGCAACGATATCAACATGGTACAACGCAGAGTAGTTACTGCTTCTGGTTGATTTGGCTGTCAAATAACAAAATGGCAGGATAGGAACAGGACGACAAACACTGTGGACAACAATTAGTGTTGCAACAGCAGGGTTCCCTTCTGTTTGCGGAGAAAAAAAAAAAAACTCGACAGAATCAGTAGACAGATTATTGATATTACTGAATGGTCCACCTACCAGTTTCTATGGTGGGGAAATTCTGCTTTAGGGACACCCTGCAGAAACTGATGGGCTTCTACCAAATGACAGCAACCTCTAGGGTTTCTACGCCTGATGCCTTTGACTTAAAGAAACAACAGTTCCTCAAAACCGTAACTCTACCTGCCACTGCCAGTGCTGCTGGTGCTGCTGACTGAGTCCGAACTGGATGATCGGCTGCGGGACCGTGAGCGTGGACCTCGGCCTGGAGAGACTGCTGATCTTTTGGGCGAGTGGGGGGCTTTTGGGGTCTGTCCGGTGGTCCTTTGGGGAGAAGGGTGCCGCGACTGCGAGGAGTGAGAAGACCGGCTGCGGCGATGGTGGTAAGTCCGATCGACGCGGCGCCCCCTATCGTCACGGTAGGGGTCCCTGCGTGCGGAGCTGGACAAGGTGAAGGGATCGCGGATTCGGGATTCAAAATGAGTTTCTGGGGTGTCAAATCCCCCACTAATTGCACTAACTGCTGGGCTGGAGGCGACCCCAGAGGCAAACATGGTGCGGTCACGGTAATAGTCAGTGTTGTAGTGCCGCGGCCTATCAAAAGTGCCACCGCGTTCATGGTGTCCGTAAGGACTGTGCTCGTACGCTCGATCCCGACTGTCTGAGCTGCTGCAAGAATGAGAGAAAGAAAGAAATGGGAAAGGAGAGGAAACAGATATTCAACATTAACTAAAAATAAACCAATTCATCAGTTCATGCAAATATAACATAGTACTGTGCAAAAGTCTTCCAAGAAAGGCATCCAAAAAGCTGTTTCAGCTATTTACCTTGGCAGTAAGTGTGTTTTTGCTTGTAAAAATATTTTACACCATTCTAAGTTTAGTTCCTTTCCTCCTGGATGCAGCTCCAGCCATTGCATGAATCTGTTCAATTCCAACAGAGGCGAACTTTAACGAACTTCAAAGACTGAATAAATTAACTTGAACTGAAGTTCTGATTGGCCCAACCAGGTATTGGATGGACCACAAATACCAGGTTGTTTCGAGGACATGTTTTGGAAACAGTTAACCTAACACAAACAAAGTCAATTTATCACCAGGCTGATTTGCATTTAATGTTAATGTTTTTCAAGAAAATAAACACTGACTGCCCAGATAAAAAAATATTCTGTGCATTTTTCACATTTGGTCTAAGACTGTTGCACAGTTGTGTAACTGCCACTTAACATTCTCTTAAAACCCACTGATGCATAGGTCAGATTTTAACCAACATTTCCCCAAAACTGATCTGCACCTGCACAACACAATTTAAATGCACAAATGAGCTTTAGTAACAAACACTTTACATTTCCTCCCACTTTATGTGTGCATGTGTATGTAAGTCTGAATAATATATAAATGTAAATGAATATACACACATACACACTCCAGTCAGCCATAACATTAAAACCGCCTCCCTGTTTCTACACTATGTCCATTTCATCAGCTCCACTGACCATATAGGAGCACTTTGTAGTTCTCCAGTTTTAGACTGTAGTCCATCTGTTTCTCTGCATACTTTGTTACCCTGTTCTTCAATGATCAGGACCCCACAGAGCAGGTATGATTTGGGTGGCGAGTCAGAGTGGGTGTGAGTGGATCAGACACAGCAGTGCTGCTGGAGTTTTTAAACACTGTGTCCACTCACTGTCCACTCTATTAGACACTCCTACCTTGTTGGTCCACCTTGTAGATGTAAAGTCAGAGACGACAGCTCATCTGCTGCTGCACAGTTTGTGTTGGTCATCCTCTAGTCCTTCATCAGTGGTCACAGGACGCTGCCCACAGGACGCTGGCGGCTGGATGTAGTCCAGCAGTGACACGACGTGTTTAAAAACTCCAGCAGCACTGCTGTGTCTGATCCACTCAGACCAGCACAACACACCCCACCACCACATCAGTGTTACTGCAGTGCTGAGAATGATCCACCACCCAAATAGTACCTACTCTGTGGGGGTCCTGACCACTGAAGAACAGGGTAACAAAGTATGCAGAGAAACAGATGGACTACAGTCTGTAACTGTAGAACTACAGAGTGAAACTATGCGGTCAGTGGAGCTGATAAAATGGACAGTGAGTGTAGAAACAGTGAGATGGCTTTAAATGTTATGGCTGATTAGTGTTTATCTATAAATATATACAACCGCACAAGTGCATGACCACATCTAAAGCAGTTAATCTGCAGACTTTATAAAAGAGAAAATCATAAATGATAAGAGGTTTTGATCTAAGTAAAGCCCCCAATTTAAAACCTGTTCTTCTGTCTGTGCTTTAATTCATTTAACCTATTACATTCAAATTACTCTCTACAAAGCAGAAATAACTGGCAGCCTGAGGGAAGAAGAAATAGGGCTGGGCAATATGGTGGCTAAAAGAGTTCCACATTAGCAATAGCCTGGAATGTAGTTGCATCAAACATGAGAGCTTTCCATTCAGCACTTACGTGAATTTTGAAAACGTGTGTTAAAACCCTGGATGGAAAAGCTAGAAATTTGAAAACGTGCTTAAATATCCAAAAAAATAAATGAATTAAAAAAAAATTATGCTTAAACGAGGTGGAAAAGTTGGTTTATCTGTGAAGGAGAAGGGCGGAAAACAGTGATGGAAACAGAATTTTTTTGAAGTGATGCTGTAGCAGGAACAAAAGTCACGTGTTTTTGCTCCATCTGCGAAAAATAGCACTGAAAATTCTCGACTGCGTCTCAAGCTACATATACCATAAACAGGCAAATTACGTTAAATTAGTACACCACTAATGGTGCCATAACTTTTTTGAACATACTATTTAGTGTGGTAGTTTACAAATTGAGGCACAGCCATCAGAGACTTGCGCAGGGGTCTGGTGGGCGATGACGAAGTGGGACAGCAACTTCAGCTCTAATTTAATGGTCACTACCTGCTCGATTCCACCTGGCATCAAATTTGCTAAACATCTGAAAGGAAATCCTGCTTATTCCTACTCTTGGTACCTGATGCTTCATTACTGTTTTATAGCTGTAGTGACAGGAGGTCTGTCTTAATTAAGAGGATAATCTGTCATCTGAATGCATTCTGCCCGAATTAAACTTAGATTATTTTTTTTCTGCAAGACTGAGACACTAAAAAGGCTTTCAACTATGATTGAGGAAATAGATCCACTTAAAACCAGGGCTGCGATGATTAGTAGAACAAAAAAAAATCATAACTGATAACCTTTCTGAATGGTGGTTTACACAGTTCACAAAGTAATTATACTTAATTAGCAGTAAACTAAACTAGGGATGCATCAGTGCCGATACTGGTATCAGGCCACTACCACGCTCGTTTACTGGTATTCATAAAAATTCACTGATACAAACATTTCTATACCAGCTGCGATGTAAGCCGAGTGTTCGCGGCTGCACTAATGAATGAACAACTCAAGCCGGCAGTGAAGGAGGATCTGCTCACACAGAGAAGAGTTACTGACTCAACGTTAGCCGGACACAAAGTCTCTGGTCACTTTAAACATTCAGATTCACTAGTAGAGACACGAAGGCTAGAAAACGAGGCAAACGAGTCAGCATTTCCTACCAAAGTCCATCCATGCTGACCTCGCTCTGTTTGACTGAGCTATAAAAGTTAACACAGTGATTTCTTTGTAACTCAGGCTGGAGAGAGACTGTACTGTCCTACCGTGAACATCAGCGCCTGCCTTAAACTTCAGTGCTCAGTGTTATTCTGAGTGAATCAGCTTTATTGATAACGGTCTACAGACTGTAGAAGCTGCGCTTCACGTAGCAGGTCGGTCAGACGGAGGGTTTCGTACAGTGCGAGTATATAAATCGTAGCTTTGTCTGAACACGATGGTCTATTCAAACGTACAGCGTGCGTCACCAAAGAACAATTTTTCTGGCTTTAGAGAACATTCAGCTACAGCTCAAGTGTGAGCTTGAGCTCCTCAGACGCGTCAGCCTCGGATGTGATTCCTGCTGTCGCTGTGCTGCTGCTGAAAGAGACAGATGAGGATCAAAACTATGAAAACTACTTTATTTACAGCTGTATAGAAGTAGCTGCAGCGCTACTCGATCCAAGATAACTAATGTAGCATAACTAGCTAATGCACTTTCATTTCCAATCAGCTAAATTTTAATGATTTAACTGTTAAAGCTGCACTCATCCTCATTAACCACGTGATTCTAAGTAGGTTACTCAGTTTGGTATCAGCAAGAACTAAAAAAACATGTAGCCGTACTTTTACTCTTTATGAAAACAGTATTGATGCATCCCTAAAATAAACACTAACCAAGATTAAAACTGAATTACGTAAATGCAAATAAATTTGATGTATTAACACCATTAAATATACCCAAAAAGAGAGTAGGGTTTTAGCTACAATTATCATGATGAAGGCATTTCATCACCTAATTTTTCAAAGGTCGGGTTTCTCAGATCCAGATAAAGCTCAAGTCCTGACTAGAAAAGGCTTCTAAATGCTATTAACACAGACAGTATTAATCTGTCTTTTACTAGGCCTTGTCATCTCCAGGAAACAGGTCCTAAATGCTATTTGTCTAATACTAAATAACTAACTGAAAATAAAACTAGCCAGTGCTGACTAATGAGAAACTATTACAATAATTTGACGAGCACAATATCCTATAAAACCTGTATGGATTTATTACACAAGTTGCAAATTAAGTTTTCATCTTAAATTTAACTTAATTTTAAAGTTTATTTGCACAGTTAGCTTGCTCATCCACAAAAGACGTTTTTCAGTTTACGGCTCATCACCATCTAAGAACTAACATTCTTGCATATCCTGTTCATTGAGCACCTTTTTACATGTTTTGTTTGCTCAAAAACAAACTAAAAACACTATTTATTGTTTATGGATAATAAAAGTGTCATTTAGACTGGAGATATTTTCTGCTTTTCCCTGAACTTTCAATAACTTTTACTTAAACAAAAACTTTTACACTTAAAATAACTTTTTACGTATATCTTCTTCTGTAAATCTAAGTAAATGTAAACACTGGGGTACATCTTCAGTGCATTTGGGTTTATTTAATTTTTATTGTGAAAGGGCCACATAGAGTCCTCTTGTTCAAATATGAACACAACCAATACCATGATAAGTGGACAAGTGACAGGTGTCCTTGTTAAAGTCAAAGTTTTCTTTAACTTATGATGGAAATCGCCAGTATTTACAAAACACTAAACAACTGCGTGGATCAATAAGTATTAAAGTGGCTGTGTGTCCAGTGTAAAAACGCTCTGTACACTTTCAGCTGCTGCTTTACATCAGGTTTTTTGTTTGTTTTGTATTGTCTGATTTCGTTTTAAACGAGCTGAGAGACTCTGCATCGCTGTAGTGGAGTTCGACTGGGACAGCGAAGTGTGACTGGGCCACGAGCAAAAAACTTTGCATAATGATAGCGGAGTTTGACTGGGTCATTGCGGTCAGTGGTGTCTGACTGGGTCGTGAACTGGGCACTTTGCATCGTGACAGCAAAGTCTGACTGGGACACGAGATGGAAACTTTGCATCATTATAGCAGAGTTTGACTGGGACACGAGCTGGGGAGTTTGCATCATGGTAGCTGAGTCTGACCGGGTCATGGACTAGGAGGTTTCTCCCTGGCAGCTAGAGAACCGTGTGTGTGTGTGTTCTTTTTGCTGTTATTCAGAACTGTAAAGCATCCTTTGGTTTCATAAAGGCATTATAAGTTAATCCTATTGTCATTTGTTACTGTAATTTAAATCAATAAGTGCCTGTGAATAACAGTATACAGTAACTGCATAATCCACATGGTAATAAGTGGCTGATATCTGTCTATTACACTACTACTTTATTACTATGACTCTATACTACTTATTATATAAATTTATACACACACACACACACACACACACACATCGCTACTGTCAGAACAAAAACCTCATATTTCCATTTTGTTTTGTAAATTGTGTGTAAATTTCATGATGAATGGACCAACAGAAACGGCCCAAAATGACTCAGAAAACAGTCTGGTTCCACTGACTTACATTAAAAGTAAAGTATGTTTTTTCCTTCTTCTGTAAAGTTACCAATTTGGAGACAGAAGGTTTTGTTTCCAACAGCAACGATAAAAAATATATATAAGTTTTGTTTTATTTTTAAATGTTTATGTTAGCTGCGTTTATAAAGTAAAGTGTGTTCACATCATTTTTAATCATGGCACTACTGGCCTTTGCTTAGCTGGTGCATTTTCTCTCTTAAAATCTGTTCACAAACTCTGATGAATATCATGTATTGTGTATTGTAAATAGTGCCTTCAAGCACTGTAACGTCACTTTTGTCATATCGCCCACCCTTATTTAAAATAAAGCAAAGATTAAAGACAAAACTGAAAAGCAGACAATCTGAAAAACAGGAAGGACTGACATTCAAGAGGGCAAAAGCAGGGAAAGACAGAAACAAACAGAGGAGGAGAGAGGGGTTAATAAGCCAAACTATCAGCTCAGAAAGACTCCATGAGGCCTTTCTGCCCAAAGACGGAGATTATTTTTTCTAAGCTATATTGTTAGTGGGGGGGGGAGGAGGAAAGAAACAAGGTGCATATCTGGGTTAGAAAAAGAAAGCGCAAAAGGTGCACAAGGCAGGGCAATACCAACCTTTTCAGAGTAGTAAATGAACCTACATATTCCAAATACAATTTGGGCGGGCAAATGTGTGAGCCAAAAACACTGGGGTCAAAAAAACAGTGGACTGGAAAACTAGGCAGTTTGGCTGCCGGCTTGATAAAAATATCCTCCCAGATGTTCAAGAGAATATCCAAATATGGCTGCTGACTAAAAGTTCTTGAGAGCTGGCAGAAACGTACCTAATTCTTTCATAAAAAATACATCCTTTTCCTCATAGGGGGGATTTAACAGGATAGAAAAAAAAAAAAATCATTCCAATGGTCACCAAAAAATATCCACGTTCACTGGTTAAATGAGGAGTAATCCCAACAACAGTTTCAGGGCAGGACACAGGAATAAAACTTCAGGTTCAGCTTCTTGAACCGACAAAAAGACGATGTCTTTAGCTGACAGAGAAAAAATAAAAAATAAAAGTAATCCCAGTCTGTGGCAGCAGCTTACTTCCGTCAAATGGTACAAATTAGTCAGACTTTGGGATATTCCTTCACTTTAAGCCACAATATACAAAATCCTCTGGTCTGCAAAGTACCTTCCATAAATTTGCAGATGCCGCTGCTTCTTAAGTCCATTTTAAAGCCCACTTGAGTCGAATGACAGGTACATCCACATTAAGGCTCGGTAATCCAGCAACTTGGCTCATATATCCAAAAACAGGGTTAGATCCAAGGTTTTGCGAGAGAAATGTTTCTTCGTCTATCCAACAGAGAGGTCTTCTGGTCTTCTGTCTTTGGCTTCTCTTGGTAGACTCCAAAATTATCCGCCGCTCTGCCGTTTTGCCACATCTCTCATGTTTATTCCCGCCCTGAACACGACTAGCAGTTGAAAATGATGGAAAATGAGGAAGCCCTGACAGCAAACGGATACTCCACATGGACCCTGGAACGTCAAACCTCACCTTTTTACGCGAAACGGGTGACTTTTCTTAAATCCAATGCCCTTTTTAAAATTGGATCTTTTGATTCGTCCTAAATCCATTGGTGTAGTACACATCCAGGGTTGGCACAGCACCATGAAAGACAGAGTTAGCACAATGACCAGATGGAAGATGGAAAACAAATTGAGCAAAGAGGATCTGATTCTTGAGTAGATTTGAATGAAACTAGCTTCATGTAAAAAGAAAAAACAAACAAAAAAACAAACAAAAAAACAAAACACATCACGTACGTACTTAATCCATCAATGGCATGGTAAATACTCCCAGACAGGTGATCCGAGGAAGTACAGGTAATATCCGACACTCTCGGGCAAGGGGGGAGAAACGCCTAATATCCAAAACTCACCAGATACGTCCCCGCGATCATAATATCCAAACTCACCAGGATATTTTCCACAGGGGTAATATCCAGCTCGGAGGAAACATATGGCTCACACAGTAATCCCAAATATTGAAATCATCTCACCTTATATCCACTCATTCTTAAAACGATAAAAGAGATAAGGGTTAATAATTCCATGAGCGGAGTCGGGCGTCAGAGAATGAAGAGGGAAATCCCTAGATTACGCAAAACGTAATGGCCTTTGTTCATTCTCTTTTGCTCTTAACCCGAAAACCTTACCACCCTTTGACAGTGGGGAAAAAATGCTTTAATTTGACACCATAGTCCCCCTGCAGCTCAGAGGGAGACTGCGTCCACTTACCCGTCTAATCTGCGTTCATAGCGTCCCTCTCTGGTGTGGAGAGACACCGGGGGTCCGTAAACGGGCCCCACGGCACCCCTCGAGAACCCCGCAACTTCCCTCCCATGACTGCTAGAGGGGGAGTTGTCGTCCAGTCCCCGTACTGCGCTGGGGACCGAGCCAGGTTCATTGTAATCAGTGCGAAGGTCCCTGTCCCCCATTTTGTTGACCGCATTGTGAGCCTTCTGAGCACTCTTGATGTCAACAAAATCCACAAAGGCTGCCACGCCGCCCTCCGAGCCACGCTTGCGGAGGACCTTAACGCTCTCCACCCGGCCATACCTGCGGAAGAACGCAGAGAGAAGCAGAGGTTAGAGATGGGAGGAAGTGTGAAGGAGGCAGCACAACCAATATCAGTTCTGAGGTTGGTATCAGTCAAGGAAAAGCAAAAAATGTGTCATCAGAGCAATTAAAAATGCACGAACACTGGAATCTTATCAGTATCTGCAAAGAACTGTTTGAAAAGAAAAATTAATGGCATTGGACTGAACCTTGGATCTGACTGATAACTCAAGCACTTACAACCCCATAAACGTTCTCTACATGTACATGAAAAATATCGGACATCAGCATCAGCCCAGAACCCTCCCTCGAGTATACTCACTGTGCTGGCTACTTTCCTGCGAGTTATACAAGATCGCTAAAAATCCCTTGAGATTTCCATTGTAATCTATTTATATTCATTAGAGCCACAAGAGGCCAGCATGTCAGCTAGATCATGCTGTAAGACACGCCGAATGTCCTGTCCCTCCTTATACCGTCCAACTACTCACATTTCCACTTTCCTACACTGTCAAAAAAGATGGTTCTTCAAGGGTTCTGTACTAAAGACAAGAGTTCTAGACCAAAACATGAACACTCAAATAACTAGTTCATGCTTAAAAGGTTCTCTGCATGGTGAAATGGTTCTTCAGATTGATGGAGAATGTGTTGTACATGTTTCTACATAGAATCTTATTGAAAATGGTTCTTTACAGCAGCAAAAAGGGTTCTTCTATTGTCTATATTGTCACAAAGTCAAGCCTGTAACAGAAGAAGAACGCTTTTTGGTGCTGGATAGAACTATTTTCAAAAAAAAAAAAGAAAAAAAAGGTCTACTTAAAAGCATATCCAACACACTCCCCATCATATTTCCTACATGGTTCAACAATGCACCAAAAAAAGGTTCCTCTACTGTTTGTGTCAAGCTTTTAACAAAAGCAGAACCCTTTCTGGTGCTATATAGAACCATTTTCATAAAAGTTTCTATATCAAACCATACACAACACATTCTCCATTAATCTGAAGAACCAACACACCATGTAAAGAACCATTTAAGCACGAAATGGTTCTACATAGAGATCATGGTCATAAACAGAACCATTCCCTTTACTAAAAATCCTTAAGAAACCTTGTTTTTTTAATATTATCCATAAGTGTCTGTTTTTGCTATTAGTTTATATAGTCTTCAAACATTAAATAATCTGTGCTGATCATAGCTGGCTTACTAACTTTTACAAACAGTCCTGTTTAGAGTTGTGACGGACTAAAACTTGAAAGTTTGAGTAACTTAACTGCCCAGGATTCAAACTTGGATGGTGGACGGCATGATTCAAAATGGCAAATAGTTTCTCGGCGGAGAATCAACGTTAGCCGATCTCACAAATCAGCTATTTATGTACTTATAACAAGTTCGCAGCTCAACTAAGTGGCACCAATGATCGTGGGTGAAGGGAGATGTTTTCGTTTATGCTACCTAAAGAGCTAAAACGGCGAACTGAAGTTAGTTTTTATACGAATTAGTTTGGGACGGGAGATTAGCTCGCTGGCTAACATTAGCTTAGCTACGCTAGCTAAAAACGAAACAAGACGACAATATAACGTTGCCTGACTAATACAGGTTTTGGTTTTTTGGGATCATTTAATTTGCCTGTTATGTAGGTGTAACGAAAACCTAATATTAGTTTAATATTTTGGAAAGAAAACGAATAAGGCGAGGTAAAATTAGCAAGCGAGCTAACGCTAGCTAACCGACTCGCCAGTTAACGAGTGGGCTAAAACAGGACAGAATAAAATATGATAGGACAGAAATGTTCGTGAGTCACATTTGTGCGTTTTAAATGTACATTTGACTATCAATTAGTTTTAATTAGTCATCAAAAGTCCATAATATGGTGTATATTTGCGATTATTCTTAGTTGATTTTTGTTTTTCAGCGCGGGCTGAAGCTGCCCCGAAGCGGAGGCCCTGTCGAGGATCCGAACTTTCCCGTTCCACCTTAAATGGTGCCGTGGTTACATTATGTTGCCCGAGGCGCCAGAGCGTAACCGCCGCACCATTTAAGGTGGACCGGGAAATTCGACTAGGAAGCTAACTTTAGCTTCGTCCGAGGAACCCTCTCGTTAGCTTAGCTTAGCGTAGCCTAGCTTAGCACGACCACAGCTCCGGCGGGGGGGAAGAAACCCCGCTTTTCGCGCAAAACTCACCGTTTAAAATGTTCGACGATTTTCTCTTCTCGAACATGTTCGGGTAAATTTCCCACCCAGAGGTGTCTGGTTTCCCGAACCATCCTGCGCGCCCCGTTCCCCGTTCATGCACATATGCTTCTTCACGGCTTTTATTTTCCCAAAAAAAACAAAAAAAAACCGTTGGAGGGGCAAAAAATCCACCTTCCGAAATGAACGATCGCGTGTGGAGAAAAGACTCGGGTTCCTGGCTGGTGGGTATGCGAGTGTTTGCGTGTGTGTGTCTGAAATGCAGGCGTGTGAACTCGACTGGCTGCCCGGGAGCGCGCAGGCGTGTGAATTCCACTAACCAGGAACGCGCAAAGCGTGTGAACTCGAGTGACGAGAGCGAGCTGCGTGCACACGAAACCTTCCTGCGCGTCCTCGATTACTACTGTGCTGGAGGGAGTATGAGGTCGCAGACAATTTGGGTAATACATATATATGTATATATACATTTGTGTGTGTGTGTGTGTGTGTGTGCGCGCACTCCAAATTGTTATGTTCATTTGCTAAGGGAAAGAAATGTTAACACATCCTCTATAGTATAGAATACAGAGCCCCTAAGGCGACATATAAGGTTATTTTTTTAATAAGACGTGGCCACAGATTAATATATTGGGGCTATGAGTTATATAATCGCCACAAATTACTATTTTGAGGCCACAAATTAGTATATTGTGGCCATGTGGCACAAATGACTATACCAAGGCTGCAAATTACTATAGTATGGCCGCAAATTAGTATATTGTGGCCCCAAATTATTACATTGAAGCTGCAAATTACTATAATGAGGTCACAGATTACCATAGAGTTATGAGAAAGTTAACTTGTGGCCTCAGTACAGTAATTTGTGGCCATGTCTTATTAAAAAAATAATCACCATGTCACCCTAGGGGCTCTGTAATAGAAACTCTTAAATATGGCAAAGCTTGAATTTCTGGATAGTTTCGAACACAATTTAGAGCACACTACTTATTTACTGAATTGATCATATTGGGGGAAAAAAACAAAAGTTGTTTTTCCCCAAATGTGTTAAACTGTTGAATTAAAATGTACAGAAGTGCGTTGTTTTTTGAGTATGTTTTAATTATTATTAACACATCCTTTACAGAAAATCAACAGAACATGTCACTTGAAAAGGGCCGCCTGGTCAAAATAAACAAATTAAATACTAATAAACATAAATGCAGTAAAAAGTAAGAAATGTTTGTTTAAAAAAAAATGTAATTGATATTTTATGAGCTGTTTAGAAGAACACAAGTACTTGGTTTGTATTGGTCATCCTCTAGTCCTTTTGGTTGGTGTACTATTCTCAGTCCAGCAGTGACACTGAGGTGTTTAAAAACTCCAGCAGCACAGCTGTGTCTGATCCACTCAGACCAGCGCAACACACACTAACACACCACCACCACGTCAGTGTTACTGCAGTGCTGAGAATGATCCACCACCCAAATAGTACCTGCTCTGTGAGGGTCCATGGGGGTCCTGACCACTGACGAACAGGGTATATATATATATATATATATATATATATATAAAATTAGAATAGAATTTGGGTTCTCCCAAAGGTGCTCTACTGGATTCAGACCTGGTGACTGGAGAGGCCACTAAAGTACATCATTGTCATGTTCATAGAATCAGTTTTAGATGACTGGTTCTTAGAGACGAGGTACATTATCATGCTGGAAGTACCATTAGAAGACAGTAAACTGCAGCCATAAAGGGATTCACATGGTCATAAACAATACTCAGACAGGCTAAGGCTTGGTTGGTATTGGGAGGCCCAGTGTGTGCTAAGAAAACACTTCTCCGCCATTACACCACAACCAGCCCGAACTGTTGACACAAAGCAGATTGGATTCATGGACTCTGTTTACACCGAATTCTGACCATCTGCATGTCACAGCAGATTCACCAGATGAGGCAACATTTTACGCTCTTCAGCTGTCCAATATGGGTGAGGCTGCGCCCACTGTAGCCTGGTCTTCTGCTGCTGTAGCCCATCCACCTCAGTTTTGACGTGTTTCAGAGATGCGGCTGGTTAATGGGGTTAAGCCAGGCATACGCTGTGCAATTTTAGCCCATTTTTAAGCCTGATATGGTCGGAGCCATCCGAATTGCATACTTGGGTCAAATTTTTGTTTCGTTAGTTGTCATTTGCTGTGCGCTGTGAGAGAGGAAATGATGCCCAATTAACTGCACAAACAAGCTCAGATTGAGGAATTTTGGCTGCTTGTCTCACAGTAGGAGCCATCTCATGAACTGATTTCTCAAAGTAGCACTCAAAACCACACACAAGCTTCACAAACTTCACAAATTTCACAACCACTGCTCCTACACAGGTGAGCACACATAAATGGAGGCAAAAAACCATATTTTGACATTTGTAATATCAACGTCCTATATGCTGACTTTGCACCGTTTGAAATGAAGTGCGTGGTGTAAATAAATAAATACTGTAATTTCGTAAACTGCTGTCGTAAAACTGTCTATGGACCACCTGGTTTTTAGTGTACAGTGTGTTGCAAATTAGCAAAGCTGTTGTAGCTCAGTTTGTCAGTGTGTGAATCCAAAACGGCCTCCTCCCTCCTATAAAGTGCACTATGCAAGTTCTGGATTCTACACCAAAATAGTGCACTATATGTCCAGTATGGAATTGAGCACATATGGCTGAATCCCAAATGGCTATTTATTAGACACATGATGCACTGTACAGGTGCAGGAGCCAGTGTTTTAATTCCTATGTGGTGAACTATGTAAGGAGCAGGGAGTCATATGAGATTGATCCAATGTTTTTGCTCTGGACTTGGACGCACAGCATGTTATTTTGAAAAAAAGAGCTTTTTTGGAAATTGTCTGCAGACAGAGCCGTCCGTAGAGGCTGTGTTTACTGTGCAGGGAGCACCCATGTCACGTCAGGTCAGCCGGACCGAGTGTTTTCGTACAGTGAGTATTATAACATTTTATCAGCTCCACTTACTATATAGGTGCACTTCGTAGTTCTACAGTTACAGACTGTAGTCCATCTGTTTCTCTGCATACTTTGTTAGCCCCCTTTTACCCTGTTCTTCAGTGGTCAGGACCCCCATAGACCCTCACAGGGCAGGTACTATTTGGGTGGTGGGTCATTCTCAGCACTGCAGTAACACTGACGTTGTGGTGGTGGTGTTTTAGTGTGTGTTGTGCTGGTGCGAGTGGATCAGACACAGCAGTGCTGCTGGAGTTTTTAAACACTGTGTCCACTCACTGTCCACTCTATTAGACACTCCTACCTTGTCGGTCCACCTTGTAGATGTAAAGTCAGAGACGACAGCTCATCTGCTGCTGCACAGTTTGTTGTTGGTCAACCTGTTGGCCGGATATTTTTGGCTGGTGGACTATTCTCAGTCCAGCAGTGACACTGAGATGTTTAAATACTCCAGCAGCACTGCTGTGTCTGATCCACTCAGACGAGCGCAACACACACTAACACACCACCACCACGTCAGTGTTACTGCAGTGCTGAGAATGATCCACCACCCAAATAGTACCTGCTCTGTGAGGGTCCATGGGGGTCCTGACCACTGAAGGACAGGGTAAAAGGGGGCTAACAAAGTATCAGAGAAACAGATGGACTACAGTCTGTAACTGTAGAACTACTAAGTGCACCTATAGAGTAAGTGGAGCTGATAAAATGGACAATGAGCGTAGAAACAAGGAATGTTATGCCTGATCTGTGCGTCTGGGGCTTCATGAAATGGGTTTCTAAGGCTGAGCAGCTGCACACAAGCCTAAGATCACTATGCACAATGCCAAGCGTTGGCTGGAGTGGTGTAAAGCGCCGCCACTGGACTCTGGAGCAGTGGAAACGTGTTTTCTGGAGTGATGAATCAGCTTCTCTATCAGTCTGATAATGAATCTGGGTTTGGTGGGTGCCAGGATGACGCTACCTACCGGAATGCATTGTGCCAATGGTAAAGTTTGGTGGAGGAGGGATGGTGGGCTGCGCTGTTTTTCAGGGTTTGGGCCCCTCAGTTCCAGTGAAGGGTGATGTTGATGCTACAGCATAAAGACATTTTACACAGTTTTACACCTCCAGCTTTGTGTCAGCAGTTTGAGGAAGAGCCTTTCCTGTTCCAGCATGACTGAACGCCTGTGCACAAAGCAGCTCCATAAAGACATGGAGTGACCAGTTTGGTGTGGAGGAACTCCAGTGGCCTCACAGAGCCCTGACCTCAACCCCACTGAACACCTTTGGGATGAACTAGAACGGAGATTGTGAGCCAGACCCTCTCGTCCAACATCAGTTTCTGACCTCACAAATGCTCTTCTGGATAAATGGGCAAAATTACCACAGACACATTTCCATGGTTTTGGATGTCCAAGAAGCTCATGTAGGTTTGATGGTCAGGTGTCCACATACTTTTGGCCACATATATATATATTTTATATATATATATATAAATTTCCTAGTTAAAAATTTGGCTATGTACTTATAGTCAGTATCAATGTCGGTGTGAAATATTTAATGAGATGCACATTGAAGCAGAAACAAAATATGGCACATATTGGTTTATTTGTTTAATCAAGTAATACTTTGCAATTTTGATATGTTATTTCATCAGTTAAAAAAAACATTTGACTTACTGATGAATAAATATCTTTGGCGTAATGAACTTTGGTGCATATTATAACACAACAGTGCAAAATATCAGATTAGCTCAGATATGTTTGATACATGTGTCGTTACATCATTGATAAATGCAGTGAAAGTTTAAAAAATGCGAATATAAAAATAAGGTAATATTAAAAGAATTTTTAACTATTGGATCATTGTAAAAACTAACTAAATAAAAAATAAGCTCTGCTCTCCCAGCTATGCTTTCCCAGTTTTGCAGCATTTGCGTGTACAATCTTTATCCAAATGTAGGTTAAAGCAGCCCAGCAGAGTTTTTGTCCATCGAATGGCGCCGTAGTTCTGAGACAATGTACCTTTGCATTGTTTTTGACGGCCCTACTGAAGCTGATTGCTTGTAATGCCATTCTAGCCACAAGTGCATGAGCTTTGGGGGCCTTTTCTTTCGAAGCCTGTTTCTTCCACTAATGGACAAAATCACAGTTGGGCAGCTTTAAATTCTGTAAATTCTCTTCCACCTCTTTCCTGGTTGATCATTAGCGGATTCAGTGTGCTGTAGTGCGAAGCCCCCAAGTGCAGAAGGTTTTAATGTTGGGCTGTCTGGATCAGAGAAAGGTGGCAGGGTTTACACAGTATCTGTCCATCCAGCGGGTGGCAGCCGTGTTCATTCGGCTCCGGAGAGAGAAGCACCCCGCACCCCTGAGGAAGAAACACAGACAATGCCAGAGATGTTATAAAGGAGGAGACGGTAGAGCCGGTTTATGAGGAGCCTGGCCACTTCCTATTTCCCTTGTTATATCAAAAACAGCAGAGGGCGCCCATGAGCGAGTCCTCAATGAATGAGGGTGGATGGAGCTCAACGGCTAAAAATTAAAACTTAAAATAGTTTCTAATCTCTCGCCCAGAACTTTCCTTTAATTTTAGAAAGTAGAAGGATGAATTTCACTAAAAAAGCAAAGAAAACTCACCTGTACGTTTCCTTTTTTCTACAGCAAATGGTTTTGGGTAGCAGTGCGCTAACATTCCTGCTACTGAGTGCCCGACAGTTTGGTGTCTCCTTTGTCATATTTTTCATTTCGTTATCAGTGGTGACAGGTCTGGACTGCAGGCAGGTCAGTTTAGCACCCAGACTCTTTTAATACAGAGCAATACTGTTGTAATACATGTAGAATGTGGTTTGACACTGTCTTGCTGAAATAATCAAGGTCTTCCCTGAAAAGGATGGCAGCATATGTTGCCAAAACATGTATATATCGTTCACCCATGCCATGTGCACTAATGCCCCCCTATTCCATCATGAATACTGGCTTTTGAACTGTGCACTGATAACAAGCTGGGTGGTCTTTAGCCCGGAGGACACAGTGTCCATGATTTCCAAAAAGAATTTCAAATGTTGATTCGTCAGACCACAGGACACTTTTCCACTTCCCCTCAGTCCATTTTAAATGAGCTCAGGCCCAGAGAAGGTGGCAGCATTTCTGGATCCTGTTTATATTTGGTTTCTTCTTTGCGTTTTAGAGTTTTAACTTGCATTTGTGGATGCAGTGATGAACTGTTTTCACAGACAGTGTTTTTCAGAAGTGTTTCTGAGCCCATGCAGTGATTTCCTCTACAGAATCATGTCTGTTTTTAATGCAGTGCTGTCTGAGGGCCCAAAGACCACAGCCATCTAATACTGGTTTTTGGCCTTGTCCCTTACATACAGAGATTTCTCCAGATTCTCTGAATCTTTTAATGATATTCTGTACCGTAGATGATGAAAAGCAGAAGTTCTTTGCTATTTTACGTTGAGAAACGTTATTCTTGAATTGTTGCACTATTTGATGGTGCAGTCTTTCACAGAGTGGTGAACCCTCCTCATCTTTACTTCTGAAAGACTCCGCCTCTCTGAGACGCTCTTTTAGACCCAATCATGTTACTGGCCTGTTGCCAATCAACCACCAGGTGTTTTTTTTTAGCATCACACAACTTTACCAGTTTTTCGTTGCTCCCATCCCGACTTTTTTGGAACGTTTTGTTGGCATCAAATTCAAAATGGGCAAATATTTTTCAGAAAACAATAAAATTTCTCGTTTCAACATTTGATTTGCTGTCTTTGTTCTATTTTCAATGAAATATAGGGTTTAAATGATTTGCACATCATTGGATTTTGTTTTTATTTACATTTTGCACAGTGTCCCAACTTTTTTGGAAACGGGGTTGTATATCGTCCATATATCGTATTTTATTTAGAAGTGTTTGTATGTATGTAGTTTATCTCCTCCATTTTCTTAAAGAAATGAAAAAGCAACAAACTCAATGCAAAAGACCCCGTTTTCTCTCACCGGTTCCCTCACAAGTTTCGTGCCACAATTGCGAGAGGAGGAACCTTTTTTAGTGACGTCACCACACAGCCTTGTAATTGCTGCTCCATTTGTGTGACCAATAGGCTGCTAAGGAGGAGTCTTCATAGGGCAGTCCTACCGAGGACCCGCACTACCTTGGCTGCAGCCCAGACTTTGGAATCGCAGCTAAAGTGTGTGAGTCATTGCTTTGTCTGGTTATAAACCTGGAGTAGAGCTGTGCTGCAGTGGCTTTCTTTTGGCCGTGTAGCCCTTAGCATGCTAACGAGCCAACTAGCAGAGGAAAGTGATAAGGTTGTATCAACAGTTGTGTAACAGGTGGAGTAGTTTGTAACCTATAGAACAGTTTACAGTTTATTGCTGTAGCTTATAAGCAACTTTGTCCACCATTATTTCAGGGTTTGAAAGGGGAAATCACCAAAACGGAGATACTGATTAATGCAAGAATGTAGCGCTTACTACGTAGTGTAAAAATATAGTACATGATGTAAGAAAATAGTGTATAGTATAAGAATAAATATTACATTTAATAAATAAAAAAGAATAATTAAATAAATGTGAATTTACACACATCCAGGCCTCACACTGACCTCACAGCGGTAGCAGTCTTCATGGAAAGAGCGTCCCAGACACTCCACCGTGTAGCTGTCTGTTCCATCTTCTCGAGGGATTATCAGTTCTCCACAGATGCTGCACTGAGGAGCGTACTTCCTACACAGCGACAGGAAAGTGATGGTTCGGTCAAAACTATCTCACAATAAATGTAGTTAATCAGCCAAAAGCTGTTTGGTATCTAAAGTCTCTTTAGGTTTATGTTGGAGCTACAAGCCTAATGTTGCTAACATGTAATAGAGGCTTATAGCCCACCACTTAGCAATTTTGTCCATTTTATATCATATGGCAAAGCGTCGGCCCCGTCCACGTCCAAGAGAGTTTAACAGGCCCGTCCACGTCCAAGAGAGTTTAACAGGCCACCTTCACAGTTCTGTTTTTTTTCTGCTGGAAGTACTGGTTAAAGAGTTTCTACTGGAAGTACTGGTTAAAGAGTTAAGCCATTTTGGGGAGAGGGAGGACCATCATACCCACCCAGAGAGAGAGGACAGTTATGCTCTCTTGGACTCCCAGCCACAGATGGCTTGGGCCACACTTAGCTATAGTATAATATACTGTTAACCATAAAAACAGACAAAAACATGTTAGCATAGCTAAAAACAGTAGGAGCAGCCGTCTTTAGTGTAATCACGTCATCACACACGCAGTTAGCACAAAGCTAATTAGCGGGATATAAGCTTCCATTACTTGTTAGCTACATTAGCCTTGTAACCCCAATGCTGAAACTAAAGATTTTTTGCCAGACTGCCTCACACCTACAGGCATATGCAAAAGTCCGGGCGCCACGAGTCAAAGTCTGTTTTGTTGATTTTTTAAATGAATGCAGGTTAACACATGCTCTACAGAGAACACACTTCTGCAGTTTTTAAAATTTGCTGAATATAACTTATTCGAAGAATAAATAAATCTTTAAATGTGGCCTGTGGAAAAGTGACCACACATTTTATGTTTTATGTTAGACTATAGAAGTTGTGCATTAAAATGTGCAGAAGTGTTATCTGTTAAAGATGTGTAACTTATTTAAGCTTAGAAAACCAACAAAACATGGAATTTGACCAGGGGTGTGCAAACATTTGCACAGGACTGTAAGGATACTGTACATGATGCAGCTGCGTGATCTGATCTTGACCGTTTGGGACGTCCCGTACCTGTAATAGTCCTGCAGGCAGTACACCTCTCCCACCTCCCCTTGGGCGAATCTCTGCTCTCCGATTGGCTGCCTGCAGGTGGTGCAGACGAAGCAGGGCGGGTGATAGGCTCTCTCCAGCGCGCGGATCACGTGGTCCTTAATGACCTCACCGCACGCCCAGCAGGGCTCCAGACTGGCCTGTGGGAGAACAGCAGCAGGAATGATTGCGACTGTGTTAATGACCATAACGGGAAGAAAAGCTCACACTGAAACATTCTTACATCCACCTTTTCTGCCCTGCTGTTCGGTCAGTCCAAACATAATTATTCTGTTATTTTGGTGATACGAATGTTTCCTGATGTTAATAATAGCTCTTTATAGAGGTCTTTGCCTGTATATTAGATCTAATTATTGCAATGAAATATCACCTTTGATAGCATGTCAATAATGAACACAGCCTCATTGTATGTTTTAAGGTTCTCAGACCAGATGTAACGTTTGTGTGAAAGTGTTTTCAATTAATTACGTAGTGTGGAACCTTCAGGGCCTTCTGGACCTTCAGAGAAGGTGCAAACTACAAAATAAAAACTGTAGTTCAATCTTTTAATTTATACTTATATTTAATAAAATCATCATGATTGTTGTATTTAAACTCTGTGAGTGTTTTAGTGATGCTCTAATTTCATTATCAAGTTTATTAAAATCTTAAAATTGGAAAATTGTCCAATCAGGATTGTTTTTGCTGTGATATCTAGGCAGATACAGATGAGCTGCTCTCCCATTGGTTAGGACTTCAGGAGCTGGACTGAAGGCCATAAATGTCAGATTAACTACCAACATAATTAAGAAGTGACAGAGGAATCAACTATTTTCCATCATCAACATTCCATATAAACTCAGAAGACTCGTGTAGGTTCACTGGTGGTTCTGGATAGTAAATAAAATGTCTATATTTGTGTTGTAGTCATGGCGACCCCTGGTTCCTATCACCACCACTGTAAAGAAAAACTAAGTCAGTAAGTTCCTCTAGACCGCACTTCACATCAAACTACTGATTTTTTGTTTAAATCTCACTGATCGAATTATGTGGAATTAAAAAAAATTGGTTGAATTCCACTTTAACTACCACACCAGACAAAGCTTGCTGGTTTGTGTGGGATGTCCTGCCAGGATATCAGTTTAGTGTTCAGTGACATTAAGGACAAAACGTTTCTGGTATGGAACATATTTGTTTACTCCCAGGGTGCAATAGTGGTAAAGAGACTCTACAAAGAACCATTTCACACCAAATGACTCTTCTGAACTATGCTGAAATTTTGATAAATTAGGTGGAATTCCCCTTTACGTTCAGTCTGAAGCTCCTACCTGGTAGCAGTCCTCACACAGCGGTATGCCGGCCTTGTTGTAGTACATTTTCCCAGCGAGAGGCGTGTGGCACTGCCTGCACTGGAAACAGCTGCTGTGGTACGTCCTGTTCAAGGCCTCGATGGCTGGTTCCGTCAGAGCTACAGGCTTCCGACAGAACCCACACACATCTGAAACACACACACACACACACACACACACACACAAATCAATTAGTCACATTTTTCCTGTCATATGCACAGAGAGTTCACTGTGCAAAGAAATCCTTTGTTTTGCGGTGCTGCTGACAAAGAAACAAACACAGGCGCAACAGCCCGTTTCAAATTTATTGTTTTTGTGATGTCAAAAAACATAATGTTTGCATATATCTGCCTATTTATCTTATAGCAGTTTCAACATCCAATTTTTAAACGTAAAACTGTTTGATGTAATATGTAAATATGTTTAAAGTTTTAAAAAGCTCCGTCCAGATATGGACACTAATCTGAGAAAACAACCCGTTTTTCAGTCACTGTTTTTGTGATGTCACAAAACCCAAATTATTTAGGCCACATATATTCCTCTATTTAGCCTACAGCAGTTTAGACTCGCCTATTCACACTGAAATTATAAGAAGTGTTTTGGCTCACATTGCTTTTGAAAGTGACACAACCAATCAGAACAGAGCTCATTTACATCTATCAGTCTTAAAGGCGCAGTAACAAACAGTTTAATTGTAAGAGCTAAAGAGAGATTAGAAAATGGCCGTGAAAAAATGAATTACGACTGTTTTTGGCACATACGTCATCGTCAAGTCTCAAAGTGGACCTCTGGCATAAATATAAAATACAAGAAAATGTAGGATATGGGCCAGCCCTGTAAAGGATGGGTGGAAAATGGTAATGTTTGAATTATGACTTTGGTTTTTGGTACATTTACTCACAGTTTTACTGACAAATACAAGTGTGTGACATATTTACTTGATTCACATCATTTCCACATTAAACCATTCATGTCCAACTACTACGTTTAGTATATTGAGGAAAAATGCCATAGAATTTGGTCTAAAGGAGTGAAAGCTAGTGCTATTATAAATTGAATGAACATTGTACAGTAATCAAGTGTTTCTGATTACGGATAATTTTCATAGTTTTATTCACAATTAAATTTGGATTGTTTATTTTCTTTAAAATCAGTGGTTCCATGTGACCAAAAGACTAAATTTATTGCTCAGTGAATAAGTGATAAAAAGACCTTTTTAGCCGTATAGTTCGACTGAAAGATTTCTTAAGAGAACATATAACCCAAAGCACATTATCTACCTTTTGCAGTAACTGTGTTATATGCATTTAATTCATGTGATCTGAATCAGTTCAGTACATCATTATATAAGTAGTGCAAAAATGAAATGCACAGTTGTACAGTACTGTGTACCGTGTTAAAGGTGTAACACTACACATGACTAAATAACAGAGGTCACAGTGATTTGAGTTTGTGTTGACTAACCTGGTTTGATCTCCTCTTCACCGCTGATCAGAAGTTCTCCATATGGCTCGTCCTGTCTGCCGTCAGCAGGGGGCAGTGTCTCCACAGGCCAGCTGCCAGCTACAGAGACCTGGACAAGAGGTACAGCGGCAGAATTATGAATGCATAACCTGGTAAACTGGCAAACACAAAGCTACCAGTTCACTTATCATCACACTTGGGAGGCAAGAAATGGACTTAGAACTGTTTTTATTGGCCATATAAGATATAATTTACAGGAAATCTTCACAGCGGTTTTAAAACTCAACACCAAGTGAATATTAAACAGAGCACAGACCTAAAACCCAGCACTGTGAGCTGTGCTGCAAAGGTGACTTGTCTTTTTCGTACATTAGAAGGCAGCGACATTTTTTTTGTTTGCAAAGCTCTGTTGAAACAGCTTCCACCCCACATTTCATCCTTACAGGCAGAACAAATGAAATATGTATTAGAAATAATGACTGTTTCTAAAAACATCATTCAGCTTTACAAAATCCAACAACTCTCACCTTTTCGTCAATTTAAAATACTTTTAAACAGCTTGGTAAGGGAGCTGTAGGTGTAACTGAATGTATGTATGTATGTAACATCTGCCTTATTTTATTTATTTGCACCCGTCCCAACTTTTTTTGGAACGTGTTGTTGGCATCAAATTCAAAATGGTCAAATATTTTTCAAAAAACAATCAAATTTCTCAGTTTCAACATTAGATATGTTGTCTTTATACTATTTTCAATGGAATACAGGGTTTAAATGATTTGCACATCATTGCGTTTTGTTTTTATTTACATTTTGCACAGCGTCCCAACTTTTTTGGAAATGGGGTTGTAAAATATTGTGTGGCCACGACTTAGTAAGGCGTGGGAATGAGATAATTAAGTCGTGGTCATGACTTAGTAAGGTGTGGGAATGAGATCATGCCTTACTAAGCTATGGCCATGCATTAGGATCTTGTTCCCACGCCTTACTAAGTTGTGGCCATGACTTAATTATCTTGTTCCCATGCCTTACTAAGTCATGGCCACGCATTAGGATCTTGTTCCCATGGTCACGACTTAGTAAGGCGTGGGAACGAGATCATGCCTTACTAAGCTATGGCCACACATTAGGATTTTGTTCCCATGCCTTACTAAGTTGTGGCCATGACTTAATTATCTTGTTCCCATGCCTTCCTAAGTCGTGGCCATGACTTAATTATCTTGTTCCCACGCCTTACTAAGTTGTCGCCACGTATTATTGTTATTTATACAGATGTCACCTGCGGGGCTCCATATATTTCTATCTTTCTTTTTCATTCAGATTTGCTGAATGTTTAACTTGACACTTTTTATCTTACAAACATTTTGAATAATTTACACTGTGTTTCCTACGGAGCCCTTCTGGTGACATCCCATATAAATAAAAACAATGTGTGGCCACGCCTTATTAAGGTGTGGGAATTAGATAATTTAGTCATGGCCACAACTTAGTAAGGTGTAGAAACAAGATCATGCCTTACTAAGTCGTGGCCATGCATTAGGATCTCGTTCTCACGCCTTACTCAGTTGTGGACACGCATTGGGATCTTGATCCCATGCCTTACTAAGTCATGGCCATGACTTAATTATCTTGTTCCCATGTCTTACTAAGTCGTGACCACGCATTATTTTTATTTATATATGTCACCATATATTTCTATCTTTCTTTTTCATTCAAGCTTTGCTGAATGTTTAACTTGACACTCAGTTTTTTATCTTACCAACATTTTGAATAATTTACACTGTGTTTCCTGAGACTTTAACAGCTCAACGCTTTGAGTTGAGCACATGAAGTAGCTCCATGCTAATAGTTGTGGTATAAGCTTCCATTACTTCTTAGCTACATTAGCTTCATGGCTCTAGTGCAAGATTAAAGAAGCGAACTTCAGATAACGATCAAATATAGGGGCGGACTGTGTGCGGTAGATTCTTTGTTGAATTATTCGACATTAATTGAACTGTTGCAGTTACAGTGAGTGTGTCCCACACAGCTGATCCTGTGGGCCTCTTTTATGTGGGCAGCTAAAGCTCATAAACTCTATCCCTGAGTCAGCAGGCTGTAGATAACCTGATGCTGCCTTTTCTTTGGATTAATACAGCCAGTGAGCCAGTCAGCCGCTACAGCATTGCACAATATAACTCACAGTAAGTAATAAAATAAAGAGAGGTGTAGTGTTTCACTGGGACGGAGTTAAAGCTTGCCCGTCGAGGCATGCTGGAGGCCGGCCTGCTCCGCAGCGCTGCCTCTTCTTATCTGATCCATCCTGGAGACGTGTTTGTTTAACACCAGCTCAGCTAATCAGGGGCTTAGCTTCATGTGTTAACCCTTACATGACCAGAGACTAAAACTCATAGACCCACTGTGGAGACACGCTGTGGCTGATTCTGATGCAGTTCTACAGATTTGTTGCTCTGTGTGATTTTTATAAATCACCATTAACAGATTCATTTTCAGTATTTAGTGTCTCCACTCTTTCCCTTCATTCCAGCTTCCATTCTTTTCAGGAGCCTCACTTTCAGTTCCTCAGAGAATCTGCAGACACACCTCCAAAGTTCAGTCTTAGAAGCTGGTTGATCATTTTCTGAAGTAATCAAACACATTCAGTGGTGTTGAGGTCTGGACTCTGGGGTGGTCAGTCCATCGTTCAGCTTCTTTGTTTGATGTGTCCGTCTCCTTTTCTCAGTGAGGTTCTTCTTGATCAGCTACACATCCTTTCAGACCCACAGCGCTGAGTCGTCTTCTCACAGTGGAAGGATGGACAGAAACACCTGTGGATGTTTTCAGATCTGAAGCAGCTTGATTTTCTCCTCTCTCTCAGAGATGAAAGCTTTAAGTGCTGTTTATTTGATGGGGGCAGTTTTGGGGTCTAACAGCTCTTCCAGGTGGTTGTTAGGATTTTCTCTGTAGCTTTTAAACAGTTTTTGAACTGCAGTTCTGGAAACTGTTTTTTTTCACTTGTTTTTCTTTGTCTTTCTGCTTTCTTATACAAGTGGATTATCTTACTTCTAAACCCCTCAATCTCTCTTAAAAAGTTCATTTGTACCGTATGGCTGTTTTGACTGGAAATATACTATATCACAGTGTATACATGCTACAAGTAATATATAGGTGCAGTCAGAATGAAACCTTGTGTCTCCAAAAAGGTAAATTTAGAGGACAAGGAAAAAAGTTCTTAACTTCGGATGGAAGTAAATGGAGAAATATTTTTTTCAGAGTCATTTTAGACCATTTATTTTGGTCCATTCATCATGAAATTCTGACACAACATAAAAGCCAACTGCCTAAAAAATGAAAAACGATAAAAATGGAGATATGAGGTTTTGTCCCAAAAGCAACGATATGTTAGTATTGCACACTGTTTTTCAAATGTGTCGAGAGTGAAATCATGTTTCTAAGTGAGATCTGTGACGTTTTAGTGTGTAGAACCTTTTTAAAGTTAAAGAACCTCCACACATGTAAGTTCTATTCCAGGTTTTCAAGGTTTTCTCCTAGCCAAGCCAAGAACCATTAACAAGCCTTTATTTTAAACAGTGTAATAACTTCAGTCTAATCTTTTGTGACCATTTAATATTTAGTGAAGATTAAAGTATTGTTAAATATTTAATATAAATGAATGAATATTCTGTCACCTCTTTTAATGCTTCATGTCCCTCTTTATACACCTTTAAGTGTGTGATTTGTTTGTAATGCGAACTCGGATGTAACCGTTGTGAGGGCAGCTCACCTCGCCTGTGGAGGCCGGTGGTCTGTGTTTGGGGTCAGCTGGAGGGCAGGCGGGGGTGGGGGTGGTGAGTGGTTGGTGTGAGGGGGCAACCAGTTCATCACTCTCCTCTGAGTCCAAAGATGCAGGGGGAGGAGGAGGGGGGAAAAACTCTGAGAGAACAAAAACAAACAACCCAATACATCAGCAATATTAGCTAAAAGTGCTAAAACATTAATTATGGAGGACGAGCTGAAAAGGGAATGTTCAGAATATTAAAATGTAATATATGCGATAAGAAAGTTAACAGCATCTAAGATATCTAACCTTACAGTAAGAGTTCAGGGAAAAAGCTACAAGCTACGAAGCTAATGCAGCTAACAAGTAATGGAAGCTTAAACCTCACTGATTAGCATGGTGCTAACTGTATGCCTAAATCATCACTTACTGACCTCAACCATGTTGTGTTTTGGATGCTAGAATGCTGTTCAATCAGCATGACCTGATAGTGACTGACCAGCTAAACCAGCATCAGACCAGCAGAAACCAGAATAGACCAGCTTAGACCAGCATGGAATGCTCTCCTTCAAGTGAAACGCAGGTGTACACTCTGTTTGATCAGTTTCTTTACCTTCCGGGCTGTTATCCTGCTTGTACTTGTTAGCATAGATATACATGCCTAGATGCTGAGTTGGGTCCAGCCAGGCACGTCAACGGCGCCACCATTTTAGGGAGGTCAACATCGCTGCTGGACTGCATTCAGTACCATTACAGAGCGGCAGTTTAAGAAAGACACTGTCCAAAATTACACTATTTCAGGAATATTCCACTCAGAAAGTGGGATAGGATTATATAACAGAGGGAACGCAGTGATCCACACTCATGTCTGTGTGATATTTATGTGGTTGGTGATGCACAAAGAACCTGTTGATGTGGTTTTATATTGAACCTATTTAATTTGACAGTCTATTCAAGGGATCTTAACTTTATGTAGCAGATGGTTAAAGGTTTGTAGCTCAGTAAGTTATAGCATTCCTTAATCCATGTAGATATTCATAATAGATTAACATCAGCAACTTATTACACAAAGCTGAAGTTAGTTTCTTGTTCAAATTTTCCCATGCCACCTTAAATGGTGCAGCTTCAGGCACCAGAAAGTGACTGCTGTACCATTTAAGGTGGAATGGGAAAACTCAAACAAGAAGCTGTGACTAGGAAGCCAACTTCAGCTTCGTCCTTCTTACTGTGTTTTGGGGGGTTTATTTTATTTTTATGTGTATTAAGATTAGAAGTGATTCACTCATTGATGGATTTACTGATGAGTCTGATTATGTTTCTCGCGCTAAACTCGGTTTTTAACGTCAGGTGCAGACTGAATTCTTTCCTGCTGGTCCGGACGGCTAATTAGCTCGATCAGTTATTACAGTAATAAAAGATACAGAGAGCAGATCCGTGCAGCCTGGATTAATCTGTGTCTGAGGATTATAACTAGACAGATTTGGTGAAAATCAGTTGAGTAATAAGGAAGTTGTGGCTGATTTAATCCTGAGACTCTTCGTCTCTCAATACAATCGAGTTTGTTCACAAGCGGATCTTGACCTCTCCAACATGGCGGACGTACAGACGTATCGCCTCAGATAGAGAACAGCAGACAATGCGGCATCTAGATATGGATATCTATGCTTGTTAGCTACATTAGCGTTGCACGCTAAAACTAAAGAACCAAACAAGTCTTGGTGGACTGACTGCATTTGGGGTAAAAAGAAAGAAATGTGTACATTGTTATTCATCAAATTCTTCCCCTTAAGCAAAGGCGTAGCCAAGAGGTGGCCAGAGGTGGCCATGCTTCATACCAGTGTGGCACTGACGTCCTGGCTACGCCTCTCCTTCTGACCACCCAGTTGTGGAAGGTGAGACAGCCATCACTGATAAAGCATCATTTATGCCTTATGGTGAAAATCTCCAATCAGGGTCGTAACCAGGCAGTTATGAGAGTCTGATGACGATGTTTTTAACGATTAGCGCGTCTTGCTCTCTTAAAGTGGTTTGATTTACTCCATTCAGACACATCATTTCCTCATGAATGACTAAAATATGCTACATCAACAGTTTTTGTCTTTCAGTTTACTTCCGGCTGTAGCTGTATTGATGTAATATTTTCTCTGAGCTAGCTTAGTGTTTTCTCTCCATGATGGGGGCTATGGGTGGATCGGCCATTGGGAAAACCTAACAATTCCCAGTGGGCCGTTACTTTGGGGGTCGCTGAGAGAAACAGCATAAAAATATTAGCCCAGCTGCATTGATATTTCAAATGTAGTGCCATATATAAATGAATGGAGACCACCTGGGATGAATGGCATGTGCCGGGTGAGTACTAGATATATCTAGTGCACATATCTAGAAATGTTGGCTGTCCACTGTATCCTCAACGCGTGGTCAATGGCAAATGCTGCCGTAATGATGACAACCGGGAAAGGTAAATCGTGACTTCTCCTTGTAAACTAAGGTAACAGATGGACAGCCTGGCTAATTAACTAGCTTGCTAACTAGCTAATAGTGAGGGGTTACTGTGATTGTAGTGGACTGATCTAGACAAAAGTCCAGGGTCCAGTCCTATTGTGTGAAAATTTCATGATGAATGGAGCAAAACAAACCCTCCAAAATCACTTGGAATAAACTCTCTTTACATTCATTTACATTAAAAGTTAAGAAGGTTTTGCCCTCTCCTGTGAAGTTACCATTTTGGAGATACTGGTGAATAACAGTGACGATATAAACACACAATGGACAAAGGTGTTGGGACACCCCTCCTGATTAAGTTCAGGTGTTTCAGCCACGCCCATTGCTAGCAGGTGGATCAAATTAAGCACACAGCCATGTAGTCTCGATAGACAAACACTGGCAGTAGAGGGTCGCACTGATGAGCTGAGTGACTTTAAACAGCACTGTCATAGGATGCTGCCTCTGACCACAAGTCAGTCTGTGAGATTTCTGTCCTGCTAGATCTGCCCCAGACAACTGTAAGTGCTATTATTGTTAAATGGAAGCGTCTAGGAGTGACAACAGTTCAGCCACGAAGTGGGTAGACCACGCAGACCCACAGAGAGGGGCCGCCGAGTGCTAAAAAACACACGGAATCACTCATTAACAAGTTTCGAATTGTCCCTGGAAGCAGCATCAGCAAAAGAACCGCATATCAGGAGCTTCACAAAATGGGTTTCCATGGCACACAAGCCTAAGATCAAAGTGCACAAAGCAGCTCCATAAAGTCATGGCTGGGTGAGTTTGGTGTGGAAGAACTTGACTGGCCCTCACAGAGCCCTGACCTCAACCCCATCCAACACCGTTAGGATAAACTAGAACGGAGACTGTGAGCCAGGCCCTCTCATCCAACATCAGTGTCTGACCTCACAAATGCTCTTTTAACTGAATTGGCAGAAATTCCCTCAGACTCTCTCCAACATCTTGTAGAAGCTTCCCAGAAGAGTGGAAGCTGTTAGAGCTGTAAAGGGGGACCAACTCCATATTAATGCCTATGGATTTAGAATGGGACGTCATTAAAGCTCCTGTAGGTGTGATGTGTAGGTGTCCCAATACTTTTGTCCATATAGTGTTATTTATTTTCATGTTTTTTCACGTCTTTTTTGTGAAGGAAGATTACAGAAAAACAAGAATTTAATCTTCTGAATAATATGATATGATGAATTGTGCTTTACATGCCTATAGATATGAACTAACAAGGTCATTAAAGGTCAGTTTTCATTTCAGGTTGACTTTAAACATCAGTTTTGCTACAGAGTCTATTCTCTTGAAGAAAGCCTTGAAGTGAAACTGTATTGTTTGTTTATTGTTTACCTCCTGGGCTTCTGTCCTGTTTGCGCTGCCGTGTGTCCACCGGTCTGGATGGAGGGTCAGGGTGAGCGTAACGGGTCTCCGGCGCGGGCGACAGAGGTCCGGTCCTAGCCTGTGCTCGAAGAGGGCTGGCTGGGATGGGAGACCCGGTGCTGTCCTGGAATGCGCTGGAGGAAGCGGAGGGTCTCCGCTGAGTCCCGGTGGGGCTGAGGGGGACGGCAGTGTGCTGGATCTGGGGTGGAGGGGTCAGGATCTGGGGGGTCGGAGTGACCGTGGCTCTGTAAGGGGAGGCCAGTGTGATGAACACTGAGGAGACCATCCTCTTCTGGGGGGCAGCAGAGGCCATAGTGCTGAAAGTAAACGAAAATAAGTAAAAATGAATTTCGTCATATTATAACAAAACTTCCTGTCTCTAAAACAGGATATAAGAAAGCATTCTAAACTTTAATGGATGTTAATATAACGATATTTTACTCCACCTCTATTCTAATGGGCCATTCAGCATCAACACTCAGACAATGTAAATGACAGCTTTTCAAATTGTGCAAAAAAAGGAAAAAAGGCAGAATGACAGCAGTCATAACTTACACATCCTCTGAATATTTCACAGTAATTTAGAGTAGTTGCTAAAAATTCATAGTAGACAGAGTAATCTATAGTAGATACTGAATAATTCATAGTAGATTCTGAATAATTTATAGTAGCTGCTGAATAATTTATGGTAGATACTGAACAATGCGAAGCAGATACTGAATAATTCATAGTAGATATTGAATAATGTATAAAAGATACTGAATAATTGATAGTAGATGTTCAGTAATTGATAGTAAGCCTCTCAGGAGAAACCTCAGTGGTTCAGTTTGCTGTTAAACAAAGAAGTGTCCATCAATAAAACTGAACTGATTTACCTTATTGATTTATTGATCAACTGTATTGGTTTAAAGAGTGCAGCACATCTGTTGATGCAAATTAGCCACTGGCCTAGCAGCTGCAGCTGAATGTCCGAGTGTCTATGTGTGTGTGTGTGTGTGTGTGTGTGTGTGTGTGTGTGTGTGTGTGTGTGTGTGTAAGGGGGGTTGTGTTGGTGGTGGCTGTGGTTTCATTACTCAGCTGTGTTGTGCTGATTAGAGTGGACTAACAGGCCCAGAGAAACTCAGCCACTGCAGAGCTGCTATATTAGGACATTTAGCTGCTTTATCACGAATATCAGCCTGTGGCATGTTGCACAGCCAAAAAGCTTTTATAAAGCCTGAATTTGTCTGTATTTATGTCCATTTTGAAGTGTCTTTTAATGGTTAGCTATTAGTCTCACAGCTCCCGCACAAAACCCTGCAAAGCGTCTTCTAAATCTTCCAAAAATGAAATGACTCAAAACAGTTACTTATGAAGTGAATAAATACCTCAGACAGTGTGGACAGCACAGAGTGAAAGTTTTTGATAATTTATTATCATAAATTATTAGTTGTTATTATTAAAATGCTGCTAAAACTAACCCTTTAACTAAATCACGTCCTTTTTAAAACAAAAGCCAACAACCTTTCTGAAGGAAATGCTTCAGTCAGCGCTTTAAAGGTTCACGGATTCCATCAAATCAAGTCAGGAGTTTCTCATTCTTGCAAATGAACAGCATTTGTTTACAACGTTTAATTCCAGAGGAATTACAGGCATGTTTACAAGCCCCATATAGTGAGGCCACATGTGGACACTACTTCCTGTTACGATGTCACAACTTGCCATATGGCTGGCAGCAAGCTGCAAACATGTGAACGACAAACAAGACAGTGTTACATACTGAACCTTTAAAGTGCTCTTCTGTAGCGGAGCCCATGAAACACACAGTGAGCAATGATAGCTAAAGCTAATAATGCTGCTAATGAGGTTGGTTTTACTGGTCAATGTTCACTGGCCACTTTATCAGAAACGCGTCCCTTGTACTTCCACTCACTGACCACTTTATTAGAAACACCTAACTTGTAGCTTTACCTTGTGGAGCAGTAAGTGGAAGCACAAGGTGGGTGTTTCTACTAAAGTGGCCAGTAAGTGGAAGCACAAGGTAGGTGTTTCTAATAATGTGGCCAGGTAGTGGAAGTACAAGGCAGGTGTTTCTAATAAAGTGGCCAGTGAATAGAAGCACAAGCTAGATGTTTATAATAAAGTGGGCAGTTAGTGGAACTACAAGGTGTTTCTAATAAAGTGGCCAGGGAGCAGAAGTACAAGCTAGATGTTTATAATAAAGTGGACAGTTAGTGGAACTACAAGGTGTTTCTAATAAAGTGGCCAGGGAGCAGAAGTACAAGGTGGGTATTTCTAATAAAATGGCCACTTTGTGGAAGCACAAGGTAGGTGTTTCTGATAAAGTGGCCAGTGAGTAGAAGTACAAGGTAGGTGTTTCTAATAAAGCGTTCAATCAGTGGAAGCGCAAGGTAGCTGTTTCTAATAAAGTGGCCAGTAAGTCTATAAGCTACTAGTGAGTCAACACCTTTAGCCTTTGTTTCACCTGGAGACTAACCTGTCTAATCAGTTCGTCACTTAACACAGCGCGTACAGCAGGGCGTGTAACAGAGCTCAGTGGAATGACAGGTGACTTCATGTCAGCTGAGCTTTATCTTGGCTTCATGTTTATCTTTAGCCCACAAAACCACAATTGTCAATCTCCACGGCTCTTGGAAATGTAACAAGACAGGCGCAGTGAAGCGTATGAGCATGTTACAGTCTGTGAAGTCACTCCTGTAGCGTGTGGAGTTCATTATGTGGTTTCTGACACTGTATAAAACACTTATCAATAACAATAGGAAAGAACATGGTTTGTGCAGTGCTAGCTGGTGGTGTCTGTGCTTCTATTACTTATTAGTTACAATAGCCTCGTAGCTCCTGTGCTAAAACTAAAGACGACAGCAAACATCTTTGTTGACTGACGACATTTGGGAACCACTTCTCCTTTAACACAACCCACATATTGTCTTATTTAAGACAAATATCTATTCTACTTGCACATTCTGTGGCGGATATATACTGGGTTCTTGTGGCCGACCACAAAACATGCTAAAATAGCAGTGGGGAACTCTCAGGGCCGTCTGGTCTACAGAGAAGATTTCTGTGAAGTAAAAAAATACATGTCTGCAATTTTCAGCTTATTTTTATTCAACAGAATCATCATCATACTTGTTGTATTTAAACTTTATAAGTATTGTAGTAGTTACTGTTGGAAACAAAAGGGTTAAAAATGCCAAACAGAAAATTATCCAATCAGGATTGTTCTCTCTGTGGTATCTAGGTAGATACAGCCAAGTTGCTCATTGGTCAGGCCTTTAGGAGCTGGACTGAAGGCCTTACACTTTAGATTAACTACCAACATAGTAAAGAAGTGACAGAGGAACCAACCAATCACGCTTTGATTTATAATGGGTGGGAAAAATGTCACTCTAGCCCATCTGGAAGTTCTAGATATGTGTGAATACAAGCCATAGTCTGAGCAGGGTTCCGGTTGGTTGTTAGGAATGGAAAACAGTGACAGCAGCTCTATGCAGGACTCTTTACTGAAAGAGTCACTGTAAAACTGATACATACAAGCTCGGATATCTGATAATGTCTGTTACAAACTTCAGGTAAAACATAAACATAAAGTGGCCAGTTAGTGGAAGCTCAAGTTAGGTGTTTCTAATAAAGTGGCCAGTGGGTGGAAGCACAGGGTGGGCGTTTCTAAGAGTGGCCAGTAAGTCTATAAGCTAATAGTGAGTCAACACCTTTAGCCTTTGTTTCACCTTGGGACTAACCTACCAAGCTCCTCAGCCATTGGTCAGGACTTCAGGAGCTGGACTGAAGGCCTTACACTTTAGATTAACTACCAACATAGTAAAGAAGTGACAGAGGAACCGACCAATCACGCTTTGATTTATAATGGATGGGGAAAATGTCACTCTAGCCCTTCTGGAAGTTCTAGATATGTGTGAATACGAGCCATAGTCTGAGTAGTGTTCCGCTTAGTTGTTATGAATGGAAAACAGTGACAGCAGCTCTATGCAGGACTCTTTACTGAAAGAGTCACTGTAAAACTGATACATACAAGCTCAGATATATGATAATAACTGTTACAAGCTTCAGATAAAACATACAGAATGACTTTACAAGCTCCAAATGACCATGTTTAATCTAGAACGGCCATTAAATGTTCATGTGAATTACTGGTAGCTTAGTGCTAATATACTACTAGAGCCCCATAGAGGCACTAGCAGAACACTGCACTGTTGTAGATAAGTATTTTCTGGAAATGTATGGCCTGAACTGAAGGCCTAGCTCTAAAATTCTAATAATCAAGTTTCACCACTGCAAAATAGTGATAACATAAACCTATTTTGATCATATAATCATATACTGCCTTCCGTTTTTGTGGTGGCACTAACTATTAGTAATATATTAAAGGGCCCATATCATAAAAAACATATTTAACTCACCTTTCTTGAAATGGAAGTTTGATCTAGCTTGTATGTCGCTGCTGTCAGAAACAAAGCCTTGTATCTCCATTTTTGTCGTTTTTCAGTTTTTGAAATAATTAAAATACCTGTTGTTCTTTATATTGTGTGTAAATTTCATGAAGGATGGACCAAAAGAAAGCGGCCCAAAATTCCTTGGAAAACATTCTGGTTCCATTGACTTACATTAAAAGTGAAGTACCTCTTTTCCTTCTCCTGTAAAGTTACCGTTTTGGAGATATGAGGTTTTGTTCAGACAGCAGCGATATATTGTTAGAATATATAAAAACTATCAAAAATAATCTGCAAAAACAGACGGTTTTGAATTCACCCTGTTTGTGATGTCACAAAAACCAACACATATACAAACATCCACCCTTCCAGCCTGCGTCAGTTTAGCTCCGCCAACTCATGCTGAAGCTGTAAGGAGTGTTTCAGCCCGGCCTGCTCTCTGAATGAGTCACAGCCAATCAGAACAGAGCTCATTTACATATACAGTCTTAAAGGCACAGTAGCAAAAACAGCCTCTTTAATTCTAACGGGAAAAGAGAGACTGGAAAATGGTGATATAAGTTATGGTGGTTTTTTGCTACACAAAAGCAGAAAATGCAGGATATGGGCCCTTTAAAGGTTTCTAATAAGGCACACTTTCCTGATAATGTATTCACTGACATCCCACTCTTTTTAAGTTATTGAAACAGTTTCATCTTTGTGTTAAAAATCTAATCTAACTGGCTGAGTTCAGTCAGATGAAACACACTTAAGACACGCTGATCGTGTTCAAAGTAACTGGACAGACACCAAAGTCCAGGCCAGTCATTCTTTACAGAGTTTACACAGCACATACCTGAGATACGGACGTTATCCCTCTCTCTCTCTGCCCCGTCTCTCTCTCTCTTCCTCGTCCTCTCTGCCCTCTCTCTCTCTTTCTCTTTCTGCTGTTTACCCCCCTTTCTGTCTCTCCTTCCCTCCGTCTTTCCTCTCTTTCTCTCTCTCTCTGTACTACTGGCCCTCCTTATCCTATTGTCACTCCCAGACCGTCATAGAGAGAGAGAGAGGCAGGGGGAGAGAGAGGCAGGGAGAGAGAGAGGGAGAGAGAGAGGCAGATATCTGCACAAGGCCACTCCTTTTCCTCCCTCCCTTGTTCGTCCGCTCTTGCTCCCATGCTCCTCCTCTTCCTCCCCCTCTCCCTCCCTCCCTCTCTCTCTCTCTCTCCCTCTCTCTCCCTCTCTCTCTCTCTCTCTGAATGACAGCTCTGCTTTCCCAGCCGTAAAAGGTGAACAGTTAATCACTGACAAACCACCCCAAACTCGCCCACTCACAGTGCCCCCTCCTCCCCCTCCTCCCCCTCCTCCCCTTTATCTTTTGAAACGCAACAGGATGTGACTGTACCTGCCTTTTCCAGCTCTCTCTCTCTCTCTCTCTCTCTCTCTTTCCTATTTCTCTCATTCTCTTTCTCTTCCCTCTCTCACATTCTGTCAATGTCCCTCTCTCCCGCTGTCTTTCCTCTCCCTCTCTCTCTCTGTCTTTTTCTCTCTGTCTTGCTTCTCACTTTTACTTTTTCTGTCCCATTTCTTGGTTTTTGTTTCTCTCTCTCTCTTTTGGCCTCTTTCTCTTTCCGTTTTTCCTCTCTTATCTCTCTCTTTTTCATCGCTCACTCTTTTCCTCTCTCTCTTTCTCTCCCTTTTTCCTCTCTCCTTCCTTTTTCTGTTTTGTCCCCCTTCCTTTCTGTCCAGTTTATTCTCTCTCTCTCTCTCTCTCTCTCTCTCTCTCTCTCTCTCGTCTCTTTCTCTGTAGTCTCTTTCTCTTTCTCTTTCTGTTTTTCCTCTCTTATCTTTCTTTCTCTGTAGTCTCTTTTTACTCTCTTTTTGTGGTTCACTCTTTTCCTCTCTCTATTCCTCCCCCTTTCTTTTTCTGTTTTGTCTCTCTTCTTTTCTGTCCAATTCATTCTCTCTCTCTCTCTCTCTCTCTCTCTTTCTATTTCTCTCATTCTCGTTCCTCTCACACATTCTGTCTGTCCCCCCCCCTTTCTTTTCTCTCCTTCTCTTTCTCTGTCTTTTTCTCTCTAACTTTCTGTCCATCTCACTTCTCTTTCTGTCTCATTTTCTCTTTTGATCTCTTTCTCTTTCTGTTTTTCATCTCTTATCTTCTTTTCTGTTTCTCTTTTCAGCATTTACTCTTTTCCCCTCTCTCTTTTTCCCTCCACTTAGTTTTTTTCTGTTTTTTCTGTCCAGTTTATATTCTCTCTCTCTCTCTCTCTCTCTCTCTCTCTCTCTCTCTCTCTCTCTCTCTTGCTCTCTCTCTCATTGTTCTGCCTAGTTTATTTTCTCTACCTCCCTCATGGAGTCTGCCCTCTTTTTTCGTCCCCCTTTATTTTTCTCTACCCTTCCCCCCCATTCCTCTGTATCACTGTCTCTCTCTCTCTCTCTCTCTCTCTCCTCTCTCTCTCTCTCTCTTTCTCTCTCTCTCTCTCAGTTTTTAAACAGGCTGAACTGAGAGAACTTCACTGGATCAGTGCTGGGCTTTATAGAGAGTGACTCAGTGGAAAACACTATCAGCCATGAGGCCGAGGAAAAAGGGAAAAAGTGGAGGGGAGAAAAAGACATTTAAAGACAAATAAAGGCAGAGAGACGCTAAAATACATATTCACTTCACAGAGAGACAGTCGAATCATACACAACGTGACTGTATAACACAGAGATCATTTCACCTTCATCTAACAAGAGCGTCTCTGTCTTTCATCGAATCTGGATTCATTTTAAATGCTTAGTATGAATCTGCAGTGTGTAGTTTTACAGTCTGACAGTAATAATTGTGGAGTGATTTTAATCCAGTGTGAATCTGCAGTGTGTAGTTTTACAGTCTGACAGTAATAATTGTGGAGTGATTTTAATCCAGTGTGAATCTGCAGTGTGTGTAGTTTTACAGTAATAATTGTGGAGTGATTTTAATCCAGTATGAATCTGCAGTGTGTGTAGTTTTACAGTCTGACTGTAATAATTGTGGAGCGATTTTAATCCAGTATGAATCTGCAGTGTGTGTAGTTTTACAGTCTGACTGTAATAATTGTGGAGCGATTTTAATCCAGTATGAATCTGCAGTGTGTAGTTTTACAGTCTGACGGTAATAATTGTGGAGCGATTTTAATCCAGTATGAATCTGCAGTGTGTAGTTTTACAGTAATAATTGTGGAGCGATTTTAATCCAGTATGAATCTGCAGTGTGTGTAGTTTTACAGTCTGACGGTAATAATTGTGGAGCGATTTTAATCCAGTATGAATCTGCAGTGTGTAGTTTTACAGTAATAATTGTGGAGCGATTTTAATCCAGTATGAATCTGCAGTGTGTGTAGTTTTACAGTCTGACTGTAATAATTGTGGAGCGATTTTAATCCAGTATGAATCTGCAGTGTGTGTAGTTTTACAGTCTGACTGTAATAATTGTGGAGTGATTTTAATCCAGTATGAATCTGCAGTGTGTGTAGTTTTACAGTCTGACGGTAATAATTGTGGAGTGATTTTAATCCAGTATGAATCTGCAGTGTGTGTAGTTTTACAGTCTGACAGTAATAATTGTGGAGCGATTTTAATCCAGTATGAATCTGCAGTGTGTAGTTTTACAGTCTGACTAATAATTGTGGAGCAATTTTAATCCAGTATGAATCTGCAGTCTAACCATAATGTACATTATCTTTGTGAATGTACGTTATGTGTTAACTCCAGGTTTCTCCAGGCCTTTCTTTTTTGTCGTTGCTAGCGCAGACCTTAGCTTACTAGCTAACTAGCTAGCAGAGTAAGCCAACAAGGGTGTGTTAAAAACAGCCGTGTTGTTATTGTTATTGAGTCTGGTGTCTGTGGCGTAATGCTATGTAAGGCCATTGTAAAAGTTCGGGATCCAGTACTCTCCAACTGCAGCCCTACGGACGAATCTCAGGCTGGTCAACACCTCATCTTGAGCATTGGGCAAATCTCAGCCAACTTGCTAGCGGGTTACCTACTAGCTAAAGTGTTAATGAGTTCACTCTAATGTGTTTATGTGGACAGCTCACATTAATGTTCGTTAAATAAAAGGGTTAAGGTTACGGCTACAGCTAGTTATTTCCCCAAAACATTAGCTAGTGTACATTACCAGAGCCGGTGTATAAGGAGTCTGGCCACTTCCTATTTCCATCGTTATATCAAAAACAGGACTGCAAAACAGCAGAGGGCGCTGTCCTTTCTTTTAATTTTTAAAACTTTTCTTTAATTTTAGAAAGTAGAAGGATGTATTTCACTAAAAAAGCAAAGAAAACTCATTTTTCCTTTTTCTACAGCAAACAGGTTTTGGGCAGCAGGACACCAACATTACTGCTACTGAGTGCTGATTGGTTAGAATTACTGTTACTGAGTGCTGATTGGTTAGAATTACTGCTACTGAGTGCTGATTAGTTAGCATTACTGCTACTGAGTGCTGATTGGTTGGTGAGCGGAGCAGCTCATTGGCTGTTCGCGCTCACAGACGTCATGAACGTACATGAGGCGCGTTTTAAACTCCTATAACTCGAGTTTAAAAGCTCTTAAAAATATAACAGCAGTGTTATAATGTTTTATGCTGCTCTGTGTTCAGGAAATGAATGAATCCTTTAACAGTAAAAACGTTTAGTCATTTATAAACTATGATTTTACTGAAATGCTCCATCTTAACCCATTTATTTTGGACTCGTTCGGGAGCGCCCTCTAGTGTTTGAGCAAGCTGGAAGACATTACAGAGTAGGAATTCTCCTCTCTACAAGTTCTCTGGTATTACGTCTTCAAAATAAAAGCATTAGGGTAGCTACACTTTCAGACACGTTAAGTTAACACACTGAAAGAGTGATTTAAAGTGATCAGATTTTCTGTCAGTCTAAGTGTACAGACAGCAGAACTGCTCTGGAACAGGTTGTGGAAAGTTGTGTTAATGTGAGCTACAACAACTTCTTAGCTAGTCTGTGGAGCTCCAGCTGATTGTGTGGCCTTTTTGATCCAGGCTATCTGTGAGAATCTGAAGAAATTACACACATATTTTACTGGCCAATCTATTTTTTTTATAAATTTAACAACAGAACGTCTTTCTAGCAAAACAAGTCCAGCTCAGTTAGTGTGTTATTTGGAGAAAACGTAATACTGTCAGTAACATATTTAAAAAGAAGCCCAAACTCTTTCAGAAAGTGATGTGATTCTCCATATCAGCTCCGTCTGGGAGCAGTTTGGGTCTGAGAGGGGCGGGGCAAAGCCCCCAACACAAACAGAGAGGAAACGGGGCAGGGGAAGAGGGGAGCGAGGGGGGCCGAGAGGGCCGAGGCCACGTACGAGAGCAGAGGAGAAGGAAAAAAAAACAGAATGAGAGGAAGAAAGAGAGAGATAGAGAGAAGCGAGAAAGAGAGAGAGGGATAGAGAGAGAGAGGGGGATAGAGAGAGAGAGAGAGGGGGAAAGAGTGAAGTGGTGAAAGAAGAAGAGGAGGAAGGAGGAGGGGGGGAGGGCCTGGGGGTCCGTGTTGTTCGTGTGTGTGTAGAATGGAATGTTTCAGTGATGTCACACGTGCGAGAGCGAGCATGCCCAGTGATGACATCATCCCCTCCTGTCCAAGCCCCGCCCACTCACTAGCATCACTGTTGCCAGAAAAACCGCAAAAGCCCAGATGAGTGAAAAAGAGAGAGAGGGGGGGGGATCAGAGGAAAGAGAGAGAGAGAGAGAGAGAGAGAGAGAGAGAGGGGATCAGAGGAAAGAGGAGAGAGAGAGGGAGAGAGAGAGGGGATCAGAGGAAAGAGAGAGAGAGAGAGAGAGAGAGAGAAAGAGAAATCCTTTTTACTAAAGAAAAACAGAGCAGATTTGTGCTGAAGCAGCACGTTTTCACCCACAGCTGAAATCTGAAATGTTGTCAAAAGCATCCGAAAATAAAGTGTTGAAACGTTGAGGTTTATGCGTAACAGTGTGTCGGCCTGGGACAGTTTATGTGTCTGTGCAGCACAGTTTGAGCAAAACAGGCCCACTTAATACAGCATGTCGGTGAGTCACTGTTTAGCCATACAGAAAGATTAGACTCACACACACACACACACACACACACACACACACACACACACAGACACACACACACACACTCACACATTCGAGCTACAACTTGTGCAAATTCGTGCAAGTTCTTGCTTAATAA